ATTCATGGACAAAAAGAAAGTGGCTTAGAATTTTTAAGAACCAGGATGCACTTTGGAGAAGTTATACAACCTAAAACCCTTTAATCAGCCGTAATAAACAGCTTTACATTTAAAAGAGGTAGAAAATCAATATGTGTGTCACGACCTCTCAGCATGAAATAAGCGGCAAAAATTCACATTTGCTCAGTCAAAAGGTTTTCCTCCGAAGCATAATCTACTCATCAGAGAAAAAAATTCATTGGAACAAGCATCATTTTGGCATGAGGTACCGACTCCCCCCCCTTTTTTTACACTATGTGAGCACAATTAAACATTACTGATTAATCAAGCATTGTTTGTTGTTGTTGTTGTTTTTTAACCTTATTTTTACACTATTTCTGTTTTTGTTCATTTCTCATTATTAAAAAAAACTGTCCATGGACCCGGTCCATGACAGGGGGTCCATGGACCTGGTCCAAAGTGGGGGTCCATGGACCCCTGGTCCATGTTTTGTCCTCACCCGTCGTGCAAAATATTGTACTACGGAATCTAGAAAAATAACTGGGTTTAACAGAAGCCAAACAATGTAGAAATATATGAAATTTACGTCGATTTAAGAAATAATGATAATCGTCAATATACTAATGGAGATTAGATTGAGGCTTTCTTTGTATGTTGGTTTATTTCTCCGTAAAAAATTTTCTTCGATGGAAGGTTCCTTTAAGCGATTTTCATTTTGCCTGCCCCGCAACACACTACTGCACACCACTACACGTTTGAGGGAGAAAGTTTTAGTTTAATGGCCGTTTTTATGCTAGAGACGTTAAATAAGCAGGCAGACGACTTTAACGTCTGACGACTTTAACGTCTTCTGCTAAGTGCGTCCGAACGACGCACTTAACAGACGACTTTAACGTCTCTAGCATAAAAACGGCCAATTTGGGTTTCCAATTCTGTCATGGTCTGTTTGTAAGCTATGGTCTTCCTGTATGCTAATAAAAGTTCTTGTCAAGGTGACATGTTGGACAATTGATCTATAAAATTCGTAACGAATTAAAGTAACTTAATTTTTTCGCGTTTCAGGTGATATATCTTGTTCAAATCCATTTTGTAAACGTAAATTTCAGTCTCAGAACAAGTTTACCCCCAGCGCCCTAAAGCAACATTTGAAAAACCCAGGCAACTGGCATGAGAGGAAAGGTAACATTAGCAATGATAAAACTTTTACATAAACGTTTATTTATACTCGAGTCCTAATGTTCGGCATGATGAGTCAATGAGTCATTTAAACCGAAAAAAGAATCCCTGAATGCTAACCATTATCGAGTCAGTGTTTAACCCTGATGCCTAAAAACTATAGACACTCTGTATGGGTATTTATGACGAAATCGCCGATCCTTTATTCAACCTTTATTCAAAAATTTATAGTCCTGCAACGGGGTTACCATCACAATTAAGTAGTGTTAAGCGGGTTGAATTTTACTGAAAATGTAAGGGCTTTCTTTCCCCAGGGACAAAGGGGTAGGTGGGCAGTTTCCCAGATACCTAAATTGATCTTTTGTCATTCATGGTAAGTTTCAAAACGAATAAGAATGTGTGACAGGCATTCTAAACAAAATGAACTAGACAACCGTGACAGATCCATTCTATGAATAAGTTGCTACACTAGTCTTCCTGGTCGTGATTCCGTTCGCTGTGGATTCTGAAAGCATCTCTAAAGTGATGTTCCCATACCTCGTACTTCCTTTAGAAGGCCAGCATTGTGGGTAGACCTAAAAGTAGTTCATAAAATTCACGACAAAGGACATTCATGTAAACGTAAAATTCGACTAAACCTGACCCTGAAATCATTACTAATCGTCGTCATCGCCGTCTTTGTTGTCGTTTTTGTTTGGCTGTTTTACGTTGCTGTTTATTCACAGGCAGGCTGGTGATGTAAAGGAAATTCTTCAAGATATTGAACGCAGCCTCGACAGCCTCGCATGGCCTTTTCCTTGGGCAGTCCTGCTACCTCACAACCATTTCGCTGAATTGTTTAATTGTTTGTTTAGTTTCAGATGATATAAGAGAGAATTCTAGCCTGGATTTGAATAAATTCATATGTGATGAGCTACAGCCAAATGAAGAATTTCATCGTCTGTTTAATGATGCTTTTAATTCATTGTACCGAAAACTTCAGACAGACTTGCAGGATACAGAGTATGCAACAGAGAGTACAATTCATGACCTGATTAAAGTTGGTGGTAAGACAGCCCCCCGAAAACTTCAGACAGACTTGCAGGATACAGAGTATGCAACAGAGAATACAATTCATAACCTGATTAAGGCTGGTGGTCAGACAGCTCCCCGAAAACCTCAGACAGACTTGCAGGATACAGAGTATGCAACAGAGAATACAATTCATAACCTGATTAAGGTTGGTGGTCAGACAGCCCCCCTCCCCTCGCCCGAAAAGCGGGTGGTTGAGAAAGACGCCGGGAAAAAGTGTCGTTGTAGATGTCGTTAATTTTCACCAATATCCCTAGAAGATACTGGATATTTTAAAAAGGACGTAGCACACTAAACAATTATTGGATGAGGTTGAGCATGATATCATGCCATCAAAACCGAGGTCTGTGTTATCTGCCGAAGCCGAAGGCTGAGGCAGATAATACAGACACGAGGTTTTGATAATTCATGATATCATGCGAAAGCCGAATTCAATAATTATTTTATTCTACATTTTTCATAATTCATCCTCAGAAACAGAAGCGAAGCGTTCAGCCATTCTGTTTCTGAGGAGAACACTCCAAGGGGCTTGGTAACCAGGCAGACCTTGAACTTGACATGATAAATGCAATATCTGCAGCAGATATTGCATTTATCATGTCAAGTTCACAAGCTATTGTAAATTGATTGAATGCTCTCGACCAATCAGATTTTTCATAGCGTGTACCTGATGTATAATAATCACATTTAATTGTAGAAATGTCAAGTGAAAATTAAAAGACAGATACTTCTAGATTATAAATCAGAACGTAACGTAACAAATCATAGCCTAAATAGAGCATGCGTTTTACTTATACTCCTACAACACGTTAATAGCAAATCCAAAATTCAATGTTTCGGACGCCGTTGACGGCTTTTTTCCCGACTTTTTAAGGGCTCAAAACATGGTTCGAGTTATCCAGGGCAAAATTATATAGAAAATGACCTGAGGGGAAACAAAAATTGGTTCGAGTTATCGAGGGTTCGAGTTACTGAGGGTAAAATTACAGTGAATGTATGACAGAAATCCAGGGAAATCGCATTTGGTTCGAGTTAGCGCGAGGTTCGAGTTAGCGAGGGTTCGAGTTATCGGGAGTCAAATAACTACTATGACCTCGGTCATCTAACATGTAAACACTTCCTGAAAGTACAAGATAAACTAAGTCGTTCCACTAATACATGTATTGGTTCCCTCTCCTTCCCTCAATAATGTTTCGTGGGTTTGGTTGGGCATAAACGTCTTCAAAATCAATATTGATGGGGAAGGGGAAAAAAAATTTGCAAGTGTTTTAACAATTATGACCGGGATGTAGCTTTCATACAAAATCGTTGATTCGACCACTAAAAGTTAAGATAAGCGTATCCGGCAGCCTAGTCCCTAGGCGTTCTCGGCTCGGTCAATCCTGGACTCTATCGTGAGCTGTGACGTCACCAAGAGATACACGCCGAGAACGCGTTCTCTCGCCCGTTCTTTCCCAGACTTCGCGCGGACAACGAGGCAAGAGAGACGCCTAGGGACTAGGCTGCGTATCCGGTACTTTTGCCCTGGAGTCTCCTTGCTAGACCTAGGGTCACCGTTGTCGTGTGGTCTCGTCAGTGTAGCACGAAAGCGATAAAAAATGCTGTAAGTAGATCCTACACGCCTACATTGTCTTTGTAGGGTGGATCCATAGGAAAAGGCACTGCAATAAAAAATGACGCCGACCTGGATTGCGTGATGGTCATGAATAGCATTGACAACGCTTCACAGTTGAGAAAGAAACTACCCGCCATCAAGCGTAAGCTTGAGTCATGCTTGAGGGGCAGCATAGGGGGCTCATGGAAATTGGCTTCTGAGCAGAAGGAAACGCGGTTCTCCTTGCAGTTTAGCATGTCACGTTACCCAGGGGAGACTGTTGAGGTTGATCTCTTGCCAACATTTGAAGCAAACGTACGGAACATCGATGGTACGTACGTAACCGGAAGAGTTGCAACTTTGAGTTACTCATAGAGTAGTTAGTGCACGGCTTTTTGAATGGGAAGCCCCTTGAAGAAATTCCCAGTTAACTCAACTTTCATAACCCAACCTAACTAAACTCATCGTACAACTGCTTTTTACCTTATGTTATTATTCACCTGGTTTTCAATAAGTCCGCAAAATGTGCAAAATCAGCTAAAGCTTTGTTTCGTTTTCCCTTTTTGGTCAAATTAATATATGCTTCCAGTAGGGCAATCTCTCTTTTTTACTAGTTATTGCAATATTGATCATATTCATTATTTCATCTTCATCGCTTATACTTCTCTCATACCATTCTAAATTCTTGCTCTTTCCATAATTTGAAGAAAGGTTATCAGTGCACTAGTACTTAGCAAACTCTACTACCGTCTAGCGTTTGGTCTAGTACAACGAATAAGAATATTAATAAATTACAGCTTTGTAAAACTTCGCAGCTAGGGTCTTAACTCGTTTGTGTAAATTTTATCACATCACTCCCGTTCTTAGAGAACTAAAATGGCTACCTGTCTCATCCAGGGATGGCATACTGGCTGAAAGGAACTGGCTCCAGACTATCCGGCTAAAAAATTTAAAACGAGGTCCCAAATTCACAACAGAGACACGCGCAACAAGAATAAGATTGACATTTCCGGATACAGAACTGCCGCAGCCCAAAGGACCTTTCATTATCGGACCGTTTCACTCAAATCTCTACCTGGGGAACAGTTCCTGTAATCACAGTCCCTGCATTAGTAGGCAGTAATCCCCCGATCTCCACCCCGGGGTTAAACAATTCATTCACATGTAGGTGCAACAGACCTACATAACCTTTGCGCTCGGATTAAACGACTTAAACAATGGTCATTGGGTTGTTAGTCAACTGCCTATCAGCTACAAAGATGCGTAACAATTTTGAGAAATTAATCAGACATCAGCGTTTAGTAAAAATACGTTTATGATGTTGAATCTATTCATTGTCTTAGAACGAGAGAGGTTTTACAGTAATATGGTGCTTAAGGACGAAAAGAACTGGCGATATTATTCGGCTGCCCTTGTATTGTTTCAAAGAGACTTCGTCATTGAACGGCCTCCACTCGTAAAAAGCCTAATTCGATTGGTGAAGTATTGGCGCAAGACGTTCCTTCCAAAGAATAGTGCTATGCCCTCCTATCTACTGGAGCTTCTCACAATACATGCCTGGGAAAATGCAAATCGTCCAGAGAGATTTGACATAAAGATTGGCTTTAAAGCTGTTATGGAGGTTCTTATAAATCACCAAAGTCTTCGTGTTTCTTGGGGAGATTACTACAGAAAGGATTTAATTCCAAGCAGGTACATTCATGGAGTGTTTTAATAAACACTTTATGACTGGTCACGAGGGAAACAAAATTTACTGTTTCCCGAGGGATAAGTCTTTAAGCGATTTATTATATAGCTGAAAATTAATTAAACCTCGCTGTAACGGCGGTCATTGGTCAAAACTCGCGGGTAACATTGCATTGTTACCCCCTGACGTCATAGATTTTTTTGCAATGTTGCCCGCTCAGAGATTTTGGTGGGAAACAGTTTCATTGTTAGATGTCATGTGACCTCGAAGTAACCAATGAGAGCGCGCGCTGTTGAGAAGAAATTTCCCGCTATATAACAAATTAGTTTAACTCCCGGGCTTTAACTAGGATAAACGAGCCGCCTTTTAGATTCTTGAGAACATAAACCGCGTCTCCGATGTTTAAAAACCGGTATGCTCTTCAGTTTTTTACTTTATTTCAATCAAATGCAAAATCCGCTAAAAATGTCTCTTGAGGCAAGTAATTCGTACAACGTGCTGTTAACTCTTGAATAAAGCAACTGTACAAATTTTCTTTAACTGCAGAATTTTACTTATAGAGTATTTCCTTTTTTGGCATTTCAGTGTTCTGAATGAGGTCAAGAATAATGGGGCATATATCATTGATCCTGCCAACCCAACCAACAACCTGTACGACGATGTTGACTGGGAGGCGGTGGAAATGGTTGCAAAAGTAACCAAGCGGAAACCTCTTCTTAGAAATGTACCGGTTGCTCTTGCTGACTGGAAATGAAGAACCACCATTTTATTAGATTTATTTGTATATGGAGAATCCCTATATAAAGGGATTAGGGTTTAATTTTGAGTGCGTAGTGTTTAGCAGCCAGGCGTGTCATCGATGGCGTCATCAACTATCTAACAGCGTGATATCTATTTCTTAAACTAGTGTAGTCACTTTGTGTTTTTAAAGTTCATTAAACTGAGCTTTTACTAAAGATAACAAGTCTCCACGTTCTTTAGGAACCCAAGAACTCGACAGAGTCAACATCTGAAATTTCCTCTCTTTTGTGAATAGTCAAGACAACGCAAGAAAAATTTCTAATTTCTGCTGGCGGAACTGAAATTTGCTACGTGTTTGTTAGCTTGCTTTGCAGCCGGCCCACGCACTCGTGTAAACTATTTGTATACAGAAGGTTTAGAGCGTCTGCGACGCAGGCAACGTGTTTGTTTATAGCAAAAAGGTGGGCCAAAACGTTTCAGAGTGGTAAGAGGGTCACCAAAACAATTTACTGAGATCTCAATTTGGGCTTCTTTTCATCTTCGAATTTCTACCACCTAACCTCGTAATTCTCTCGCCCCAAATTCATAAACATCATGAAAATTCAGTTTCTCTCAGTGATTTATTCATGACATATGTCAATCAACAGTTGCAATAAAAACAATCACCACAATTCAGTACTGTGTACGTCATTATATATTAATCCCATATTTCCTCTGAGGAGGTCCATGTTTTCTCCCAGTGTACAGAGGCGACGATTAAAAGATAGTTAAATCAAAGCACGTTAATCTTGTGTATATCATACAATCGACTATTTATAACTTCGTTTTCTTAAATACAAAACAAGTGTGCAACCTCGTTCCCAGGGACCACTCCTACTCTTCCTCCGGGAGGATGAGTAGGGAAGAAACCCGGGAACGAGGTTGGACGAGTGTGTCTGGATGTGTAAGTGAAACCATCACGCTTGGAGCCTGAATCACGCCCAACGCTTCTCCATTTCACCTAAGAAAAATTAAAAAGATAATATAGTAAGTATGTATTGACAAATAAAATAATACACAAGAACAAAGAACTCACCCTGCAAACCCCTTGTGTTCGCGAAGTAAAGAGGTGAAACCCACGATCTGGAGGGTGTGCAAAGGCTGATCAACATCATGGTAAGGATGGAGTGCTCATCCAGTTTGATATGTGGTGTACGGTAGCCTCTGAACAGGCTGTCTTGTGGGGTATAGGATTAAGCGGACAAGGAGAAGACGGGGCGAAAGGACAGGGGAAGAGGCTCCTGCATCCCTTACCACGCTTCCCCTTGTTCACAAACGAATGGCAAGCTCACCGATATCGCTGTGCTCTGTAACAAGGTAAAGTTGACTATAATAACTTAAGACGTTTTCAAGGATACCTTCAACAGTGAGAAATATCGTCCCGTAGACTATGAGCAGTCTTTTGTTTTCCTTATTGCTAATAGAACGAGGGAGATACTGAGCGATTGCCGGCTTGCGAAGAAAACGCCTACACTACGGGCCAAGGTGGGGAGAAGGCGAGAAAGCGCGAAACAGGCCCGGAAGGGACTGGGCGAAACGAAATGGAAGGCTAAGCTCGATTTCCCACGCTCGGCTGGTAATAGAGTAAGAAAGAATTAAGGCACGAAGGGACGAAAGAGGCAAGGCAAAAGGCGAAGAGTAGACTAAAGGTAACAAAGCACCGAAAAGGCCAGGGAGACGGAAAGGAGAAGGCAAGAAAGCGCGAAAGAGAACAGCGACAGGGCGAGGTGAGGTAAGGAAGCTCGAACTGATCACAGCTTTTTATCCCCATGCCTTCGTTTACTGATCTATAGCAAGTTGAGAATTGATGGTCGTTATGTAAGAAAACGTTGGATTTTTGTCTTAAATCTTAAGGCATCTTAGGAAGTCTGATCAGCTTCTCCTATTAACCTGTGGGACGCGCAAAATGTTCAGTTTATCCACTTAGCACCGGGTTTCTTATCAGCCTCAAGAGTCATCAACTAACAGTGGATAGATACCATTTGTCGTTACCTTTCCTTATAGTCCAAGTCAGTACTAGCAATGGGATCTTTGCCACGGTAGTCCTTCAGCTTGTAGCTTCGTTTTCTACCTGTTTTAAACGGTGAAATCAAGGGCGAAGGACCTAAAGATAAGATGAAAATGCATTTAAAACATTTACGTAGTAAAGCTTAAACAACGGAAATCTCGAGTCAGCTAATAAGGATTAATGGTCACTTATTTTGAACCATGCATTAAACAAATGTTATGCTCATCAGATCGCCTGATGTGAGTGAGCCATGTCATGTCAAAGTTACATACACCGAGCAACCGTTCCCCCTTTTTTTATTTCAGTTAGATACCAGCCCCCCCAAAGTTTTTAGTGTTAATCTGCAGGTCTCCATACTTTTGAAAGCAGAAAAAACCGCCTAAGCTCGTTGGCTTTGAACGTGACCACGATGTGTAAGATAGTTCCTTTCACGAGGAACGACAAACAGTTGTACGGAAGTTATCAGACAAAACGCAAATGTTAGGAGTGTTATATCATGAGTTATCGGAATAAAAAAAACTGCCTTGGAAACCGTGGATCGAAAAAGCCTTAAGTAATGAGAGTCTGCAAATATAGCCAAAAATAAATAATTGCCATTAAAAAAAGAACACTTTGTCTGGCCCTTTTTAGTTTTCGCTCGCATTGTGTTCCATGATAGGTTAAGCTCACAACAATTCGAGCTCGAGCTCGTGGCTTGGTATGTCAGCTGTGCATGCTCGCGCAACTACAGGTACGACAACATTCTCGACCTAAGAACTCTTCTCTTTTGCGCATGTCAGACGGCAAGTTGAAGGAGCGAAGCCTTGCCTTTGTCTCCAGTCCTTTCCAGCCACCCAATTGAGAGCACAAGGTTCAAGATTACTGTGACCATATCTAAGGTCTAGTAAACACAAGAAAACAAAAAGCAAAACAAAAAACTAACTTTCTGAGATGCTGGATAAAGTGTTATCCGATAAGGGAGACCATTCTATAACAGGCATAGTCTTACTTGTCGGCGGTCTGAAAAAGGGAGAAAGATTATACAGTCATTGTGTGGGAAAAGAGAAAAAAGAATGCATTCAATTTTGATACATTCAAAAGAATGTATCAAAAAAAGTTCATGAATCTTATTGGTATTTTGTTTGAAATGGGAAGAACATATCCCAATGAGAAACCCCACCAGTGTATGTTAAATTCAAGGGTAAGTTAAAAATTCTCCTTCCGAGCGTTTAACGTTTTACCCTATTCCTTATAAAGGGAGATGAAATTTGTTGTCCTTTTTCCCCAACATGACAGCTGAATGCTGAATGCTGTAGTTGTTCTGAATCGTGTGCACCAATGGAAAAGATGGAAAGAAAAAAACGACCAAATCGACATACTTGGGTTAAAGCGAAGTGTTTTCTTCACTGCCAGACTGCTGGCAGTCCTTTATCCTTTCCTTAAACCACAAATTCGGAAATATTTGAAACTGCATATTTTTTTACCCGGCTTTGTGTAGACGGGGCCTTAAACCACTCTAGAGAACGGCTTCAAAAACATATGGTTTTGGTCAGTGGATTCACTGGTGGGTAGGTACTTCATATATGATAATTATAATGATGCCAGGAAACTAAAGTGGGCCAAGACACTCAAGCAATCCAAGTAGCTCAAGCATGCCAAGTAATTGAAGTAGGCCAAGTAGACCAAAACAGTCAAGTACACTCTGATAGGATAGAAAGCTCCGTACACTACAATTACCATAAGCAAGATAGGAAGAAAGGAAATATATTTCAGTACATTATAATTATCATATATAAAGTACCTATCATTTTGTGTGGATGAAAGGCCGCAGCGCGAGGGCATGCGTGGCATGGCTATCTTTTCACGCAGGCCAACTAAGAAATAAGAGGGGCTAATTATGGTGTTTTTCATTACCTCCAATAGTCTTGTGGACAAATTGCTGGTGTCCAGACCCTCTTGCTGTACAAAGAAAAGGATATCTATTAGATGACATTTTGTTGATTATTTCAAGCAAGGTCTTAACAAGTAATTTCACTAAACCTGTAAAACAACAGTAAAGCAACGCTAACAATATGATTGCAGTAAGATGACATTTTTTTCTCACCTTGTAGTCCTTCACCTTGTAGTTTTCAAGTCAGTTGTTTTAGTTAGTTTAAGTTCCTTTTCTGTTCTTTTCATTGTAATTTGTTATGTGGCTCACTGCAGTAAAACCATGTTTAAGTCCCATATGTGCACATAACTGATGAAAAAGGCTATATGGGGATGTGCGGCTAGACAGGGTACGGAATTTTACCCTTTCTCCTTAACAGGGTATACAGTTTTATGCAAATCTGTCCTAAATGGGGTATATGATTTCATGCAGATCTGTAGTAATCATAAACAGGGTATTGCCTGCATGATTGATTTGATTTGCTAGATGAAATTTGCTCATACTCCAAGGATAAAAATGCAATGACTTTAACATGAATTTGCCATATTGCAATGCTTTGACACAAGATGACATGCATTTTGTCCTTGTCCCAAACAAGGTTTGTATTTTAGGAACTTTTTTGTCCTAAACAGAGTCAGAGTTTCAAACCCTCAGCGGCTCACCTTCTCATGTATATGTACCCAAATTATTGGTCGAGTATCCCTCCCCCAAGAGGGTTAAAAGCCGGGAGAAGGGCTCTCATGGAGTTACTTGATGATTTAAAACATAAGCTTAAGCCTTAAGGTAGGACTTCCTCAAAATAACTTGCTAATGTGACCAACAATTTCAGCGAATGAAAAGAACAGAAAAGGAACTTAAACTAACTAAAACAACTGACTTGAAACACCCTTTAACTTAACGTGATCAAACAAGCATACCTCACAGGACATGCGCCGGATTTTTCCCTACTTCTGGAATCTGCCCTGCCGCTTACGAGAGTTTTTATTCCATAAATAAAGTCAACTATGAAAGTATACGTAAAAGAACCGATAGAGGTTAAATCCGTCTTCTCTAATGATGCCACTTTGGGTCCAGTGTTCCGTCTGATTAACCGCCGTGTTGGTTTCTTTTCTCCTGAGGGTCGCCAGCGCGAGCTTTTACAGCACTGGTTGCGCGTTTCTCGAGTGCTTGGAAACTCCTCAGTGACTGTAGCGTCTTGTTTATGGAACTTCACGATTTATGGTTGAGATAAACAGTAAATCTTACTTCTAACAGTGAAGATTAAACACATGACTTACGTACCGTACACAAGGAACGAGGGAACGAGAAAGCCCTGGTAACTAGAATGCCGAAGGCCAACACCGTCGTAAGCGCATGCGCAGTGTAAAGTGCCGAATCGAGTACCGTGTACCGTGCCAAAAAGAGCACAACGCATAAATTAACACCCTCTTATTAACATATAATTTCTGACTAGAATAGGAAAGAAAACCCGTTAGGTACGATGGGAGCACCCCTAATTATAAAGTCAAATTTAAAATACAACGGTTGCTGACTCAAGTAAATAGTATAGCGGTCATACTGGTGGACAAAACAATAATTTCTTTCGCAAAATTTGCATGAAGACAGTGTTTAGTTTCCAACCAGCATGGCGGAAGTGACGTCAGCTCAAAACCAGCAATAATAAACTCTTTTTTAAAATACAACGGTGGGTTATTTCAAGTATTTAGTACTTTTTAGACAAATTTACCCTCTATTAGTACTCGCCAAAAACTGCCATTTTTTTCTGTCATGATCAGATGTTTACAATTTCGTGAGCTATATTCGATATGGCCATTGTATGACGAAGTCGCGCGGGGATTTCCCTCCTGCGCATGGACGCGTGAAATACAAACAAAACTGAAACCGGAAAAGTTAAGCTTTTGTTTTACTCGAGAAGCTTCATTCTCAGGCAGAAAGCTAGTCATGGATTCGCCATGAAACCTTTTCTGTGTACAATTTGTGGCAAGCGGCGGTTTGCCACAGATTATGGCCGAGCTGAACATCAAAGAGCCCTACATGGTATTAGAGGTATCTATTTTGTACCCATAAGTGTATAAACAAAGGTGTTTGAGCGACGGGCGCTAATCGGAAGAGGACTTTTCGCATTCTTGGGTACTGGTTTTGCCCGTGTCTTGGGGAAATTGTCTCTATAAGAGTAAAGACATTGTTCATTTAGTACTACAAATACTGTAGCGTCAAGGCAGATTTAGGAGATTTAAGAGCCCGTCGCTCAAAAGAAAAGTTGCGTATCAGTTTGCATAACTCAGTCGGTCTCTATTCTCGGATACTACCTTGGTACTTTTTAAATTAGTTAAAATGCTTTGTATCAGTCGGAAAACCTCAAATCCCTCTGGATTAAAATGGAACCGAAAGCAATTTCAATTCGGCTTCCCCCAAAATGACGTAATTGTTTGGTTGCTAATTTGATCAGGCAGGGAAGAGGTAGTCGATCGTTTAACGAAAAGTGGGGAGGGGTGGATGAAACTAGGCTTTGATAGACTTTGCTGGCATACGTTTTGGCATAATTCGTCATTACGAGCATAATTTTCATGCATTTCCAAAAAAAAAAGCACTGAAAGCATAATTTGCACTTTGGGCTAGTTTTGCGGCACAAAATTGTCATTTATTGATCATGCGACCAATTTCCTGTCTGCTTACTAGCTATGGCCTTCTTGTATGCTCTTAAAATTCTTGTCAAGGTGAGATGTTGGGCAGATAATCTAGAAAATTCATGACGCACAAGGCAGTACTGTTACAACCCAAACATTTGGCTGAATAATAGTGAATTATATTCTTTGTCAACTTTCAGGAGAAAGGTCAATCCCTTGTTCATATCCATTTTGTACCCGTAAGCGTAAATTTCGACACAAGTTTGACCTAAAGCAACATCTGGAGAACCCTGGCAAGTGGCATGAGAGAAAAGGTAATACAGTCGAAGCTCTCCTTGCAACCGCGCTCGTAAGCGACCAGCTCTAGTTACGACCACTTTACCAATGTAGTCGCTTACGAAAGAGCACTTAATGACTGGTCCCGAGGGAAACAAAATTAAATGTTTCCCAAGGGACCAGTCTTTAAGTGATTTGTTATGTAGCCCACGAAGAAAAACGTTTCGTGTACAAATTTATGAAATAAACCTTGCGAGAGGTCAACATTCGCGGGTAACAGTGCACTGTTAACTGTTACCTTAGGACGTCATAGATTTTGCAATGTTGCCCGCTCAGAGATTTTGGGAAGACCTGAGATAACAACGGCCTCAACCAGGTTGTGGCGTCCAGCGGTTTTAGTGAAAACAAGGGTTTGGGTGGGGTGCTCAGTCTCGCGGGCTCATAAAACCTGGTCTCTGTCGTTCTTATTGAAGGATTTTCGAGATTTTGGCGGGAAGCAGTTTCATTGTTAGATCTCATGTGACCTCAAAGTAACCAATGAGAGCGCGTGTTGTTGGGAAAAAATTTCCAGCTTTATAACATTAGTAAAATCCAACTAGTGGTCTATTATCAGTGCTGCGTTCTGATTGGTTGAGCTACTGGTTCCGCACTTGGCCATATTTTGAAAGTATGGGACCCAGAAATGGCCTCTTTAGAGTGAGTTCTTGGGAGAGAAGCAACCTTCCATACTTCTATAACTCACGATAAACTGCAGTGACATTCAAAATTTATAAAGGAGTACTAATATAGATTTGCGAAAGTTCTCTTTTCTGAACTAGTCACTCGCTCCCTAAGATCGACGGGTTCTGGGAGCGGAGGGTCATTTTCGAGATTAATATCGATTTAATTACTTCTTCTGTTTACTTAGTTAATTTCAGTAAATATTAAAGGCGTTTCAGTTAATTCGAGCGAGCCTTTGCAATGGATTTTCGGGCCAAATCTGAAATTTCCTCCATGTTTGTTTATAGTCTAATTCAGGTCTAAATCGACCAAGAAATGATGTTTATATGTTTTACAGTACTAGCAAATTAAAAAGTAAAAAAATATTTAAATTTTGGCACTAACCAATCTTGGATAAGGGTATAATTTAGTTTTAAGGTTATATTTACCAACCAGGCATTTATGGCATCATCATCTTGGTAACCGTGTGATATCTATTTCTAATGTGTCTGTTCATTAGGTTTGCATTTCGATAAAGTTTTTAGTAAGATAACAATTCTCCACGTTTATAAGAAACCCGAGAACTGGACAGAGTCAGCATTTAAATTTTTCTCCATTTTGTGTATTGTCAAAACAAGGTGATCATTTATCAAATTTCTGACATGCAACTTATTCCGCTTGAACTTCAACCTACACTTAGTATGTCACGCCATAAGGCAAGAGAAGCTTGCCTCATAAATCATAAAGAGGCAAAACTCTTTCACCAGATGGTTTAAACTGCAAGGACGAACGTTGAACTGTACCTTATCAATCACTTTATTGTGTAATTATTTACCTTTCTATCATGCTATCTATTGTTCACATTTTTAGTTTATCATTAACCTCTCATGTAAAATGTAAAATTCACATCTTAGGAGCCATTGTATTCTCTTTCAGAGTAGCCCTGGCCCTGTCGAAGGCTAATTTTGTTAGCCGAAATATTGGCCTCAAATAAATCAGCCCTTTGCCGTATCACAAGCCTTGCATTCACTTTGGTTTTAATTCCCAGTTCAAGTGATGTCTAGCATTAGCATCTCTACATTTGATCGAATTTGAGATCCGGCAAGAGAGACCCAGTCGGTTTTATTTGCGCATTGAGGGTACCTCTGCATTCAAAAGTTTTTACTTCCGATTTCAGCTGGTAGCCATCTTAGATTTTTCCAAAGAGGTCAGCCAATGCCGGATTTTGGGTGAAATTTGCATTATGATGTTTGGGATTTAAATTGATTAGTGCATTGTTGAGTCACCTTTACATCTCTTTTTCATAATTTGTGTGTCCAATGTTTCACACTTAATTTCAATTTTGCTGGTATCAGCACGTTGTTTTTATAGAGGACCCTCATTTTTTTTGGACCAGAGAAAAAAAGCAATAACAACAACACCTCAATTTAATTCAGTGTTTATTTGCACTGTTTCCATAGATTACATATTGCACATTATTTAGACAAAAGAAGAAAATAAACATATTGGTAATAACAAGAAGAGAAACATTGTCAGTTAGTGCACAGCAACCAGAGGAGCTAAAGCTTTTGAGCTGGTTGCCTTAATGATAGAATAATATAGGTAGATCTGGCTCTCAAGTTATCTTAAGGGTAGGTCATTCCATTATTGTTCACTTAACAAATGGAGTTTGTAGTGCACTCTAAAAGAATTAGGAGGCAATAATTTTAGGGACATGGGCATCGTCTCCCAGAGCTTAGAGGCAAAAAGTTTAAATGAAAATTTACCATAATTTGCTCTAACATGCATTCTATAATAATTATCTTGGGTTGCATATCTTGTACTGTGGGAGTGTATGTTGGATGCTTGTAAAAGAAGTTCAGAGAACAAGTGTGGAATATTGTTGCCTTTGTTTCTGATTTGGCTGATAAAAGTTGCTATTTTTAGTTTTACTAGGTTTTTAAGTTTAAGCAGTTTAAAGAATGGACCTAGATTCTCCTGTCTGTGTGCAAAAAAAAATACATCTAACACACAACAGCCTTCTGCGGGCCTGTACAATTTTAATTGTTTTTGCTTTGTTTTTTACTTGAAAGAGAAACGGTCAACTGCATGTTTTAATTCTTTTTTTGGTTTGTTAGTTTCAGTTTCATTTAATATTCCTTTTTTTGATGCAAAAAATTCCAAGAAAATATAACCCACAGTAGATTCTTCTTTGTTAGTTACATGGCTGCATTTTTTGCGAGCTCTTTTACCATACTTTTTGAAATAAAAATAGTGATGTCAAATGCTGTTGAAATAAAGGGGAGTTTTTAAAGCGGGGAACCCCCTGATTAATTTATTTTCTGGCAGGTAGCTGTGGAACCCTGCTAAAAATAAAGTCAAATTTAAAATACAACAATGGGTTAACTCAAGTATTTGAGGAGGGTGCTATCGGCCTCAGTGGCTAACACCCTCCGAAATCTGCTTAATTCTTCATATCATACTCAGCCTCATTCATTAATTGCTAGCTATTATTCATTCAAAATAGTATCCTATTTACACCAATCTTGCCCACGTTCCTATGCTAAGTGATGGAGAAATGTGGCGGCCTCTTCCGGATGAAGGATACAGGCCCGAGATACCATGGGCTGGGATGAGGTGGGAAGAGAGAAAAATAAATCAGAGAGGTGCCATGAAGTGGAGAGCGGGCAAGGCGAGGTGTATGGGCTTAACAACAACCTGTGTTTCTTGTCTCGAAGATGATGATGAATGCATGGTGTATGTGTCTTATATAGTCGCTTGGGCAAGACCGCTGTAAATAGTATCCTATTTACACCAATCTTGCCCACGCTTCTATGTTAAGTGATGGAGAAATCTGGCAGCCAACATATGAATAATACTTTCTGAGACATCGCACTACCAACAAGAAGACAACACCCCACATGCCCAAACTCAAAACCCCCAGCCTTAATACCCACACTAAAGAAAAATGCACAACAGAGTAAGGAAATCAAATTGCCGCAAAACAACTTCTGCCCTGGAGCCACAAAAACATATTAAGAAGACCAGGCAGCAATAAATTTAGTACACCTCAGTCCCCATAACTAAATAAAATGCTCAACAGAGTCAGGTAACAAAAAATTGTCTGTAAAACAACTTCTGCTCTGGAGCCACAAAACACATAGTAAACAAGACCAGGGCGTGAAAAATTTAGCGAAATTAAGCCCCTGGTTCCCATACACGCTCGACAGGGTCAGGTAACAAAAATTGCCGTAAAACAACTTCTGCTCTGGAGCCACAAAACACATTTGCTTGAAACAAAAACCTGTGAGTTTTGCTAAAAACGACAACAAAAACATAAGCCAAACAATAGCTCAGACATGAAAATGTAGCAACTTATAGTAACATATACCTTAAAAAACCCAATGGGAATAGCAGCATGCTAGTAAAGCAAATTCATGCACTGACTCTGCATGAATAAAACTAGGAAGCACGAAGAGTAAACAGCGTAGGACAAAATAGGCATATGAAACGAAAAAACTGAAAACCCCGCATGCGGAAATAAGAAACCGGACATACTGCGAGAACTGAACATTACAACTGACTGCTATCCCGCTAGAGACGCTCAATAAGATTGGAGAAAAAACCGAAGCCAGCGAAAGTACCACTCATGAGATCCATCAGAAGGATCCAGAAGGATAAATGCTGAAACTTGGGCATTGCAACCTGAAAGATAAAGTGGTACTGTGAGGACAATATAGGAAAAGACGCGGCTCGAGGGATAGCAGTCTTACGTGCCGGTAATCCGACAGGGAATTAGACTCCCTTGTAAGACTGAAATCCCGGGAGCAGCTGCAGAAAAATAATAACAAGGAAAGAATTGAAAACAAATACAACCAAAGCAATGAATATGACTACGAAAATACTGCAAACAAAAGGGGAAAAGTACAGAAAATACTGACCTTGAAAATATATGTGATCAGACCGAATGTCGAACCAGCTGTCGAACACCTGGCAACCTATAAAATCTAGGTTGCAAAGCGAGATACTCACCGCAAAATTGATTACCGAAATTGAGGAAGATGGAAATAAAAACAGGAGGCAGAAAGGAAGCGGCGAACGCATGTGAGGAAACAAGGGGAAAGGCGAAAGGTGGAGGAAGAAAGGAGTTTGACGAGCACGTTTAATGAAGCCATGATGAGACCTGTGTGACTTGACTCGAAGATGATAATGAATGCATGGTGTATGTGTCTTATATAGTCGCTTGGGCAAGACCGCTGTAAATATTTCCTAGTTTAAAAACATAGCTAAAACATGCCTGCCTGCATCGATGCTACACGTAAGTTCATCTTCGATATTGTACGTTAAGGTTTGTCCAGCTCCGCAAATATTCTCCAAATAGCAGATGTCGCCCTCCGAGTTGTCTTCTTGCTGTTTTTGCCATATTTTTGGCTATTATTTCGCCTAGTTCCAGCTGAAGTTCTTACTCTTAAAACGAGTGAAATGTCCGCCATTTTTTTTTTTCACAACAACCCAACCTCGTCCCCAGGTCTTCTCGGTAACGTGCCTTAAACTGTAGCAGGCTGTATTTTTGACGTCATTTCCTCGTCATACACAAAATTCTTCCAAATTTGGTCATCAGTAACTGGTTATGGTGAATTATGGGTGTGCCAATCAGAATTGGGGAAATATTTTGAAAGAATAACAATGCTTTTTAAGTACTCTCCAAAACTGGAAAATATAAAACAAATATAATAAATTATTACTCTTAAATGGTACACAAAAAAGTGGGCAATTTTTCAGCCATGAAGTTTATAAGATCAAGGAAGAAACAAACAATTCTTTGATTTATATTCGGTATGACCATTGCATGACGAAGTCGGGGATTTCCCTCGTCAAGCCACTTATGCGCATGAACATGTAAAATGCAAATAAAACAAACCAGCAAAGAAAAGCGTCACTTTCACTTAACAAGCTACAACGTACGTTCTCACGTAGTTTAAGCTAACTATGGATTGGCGATCAAAACTTTATCAGTGCACAGTCTGCTTAAAGCGTTTTAACACAGAAATTGGCCGTGTTGATCATCAAATGAAAGTACATGGTGATTATTCATTTTATGGAGTATTCACTTGTTCATACGAATCGTGTACCCGGAAACGTACTTTTCGACGCCAAGTTGACGTAGGCAATCATTTGAAAAACCCTGGCAAGTGGCACCAGAGAAAAGGTAATATTGATCAAAAATATAACTTTTACATACACTGTCAATACGTGAGCTAATACCCGAAGTCTTTAGGGTACGGTATGAAGAGAAAATGAAAGCCAAACAGGGAATTAAGCTTAAGAAAAGGCGTTTAGAGCGACGAATTCTAACCGAAAGCGAAGCTTGGACGCTACAACATTTGTAAAGTAAACTGGAAGCGATGAAACAAAACATACAAGCTAAATGTGCTAGATGGTCAAAACATGCGTGAACAGATTCCGAGTGATAGAGGACCCAAAATTGCGTTCTGTGCATTCCATTCATTCTTAGTGGGAGTCCAAACGAATGCTAGCTACATACATGCGACGCATACGTAATAACAACCTTATACGAAATGTAACAAGTTATCGTCAATGCTATGTAGGGGTGGCGACGGTAAAATCCGAGACTCGCCGAGACGCCGAGATCCTAGTTAGAAATCCGAGACCGAGACTCTTTGGTAAAAAGTTTCGAGACTCAAAAAAGTAAAAACAAACCATGAAAAAACGAGACCTCGAGACTTATCATAAACGCTTCCGAGATTTCGAGATCCTGACAAAATTTTCCGAGACCCACGTTTTTCGAGGTACCATTCGCCACCCCTCTATGTGGAGATATCATCGAAGTTTATTTATTTTTATCGATTTAAGTTTATATTGTTGGTTTTCACATGACGTCACTAAAAGTCAAACTATGAAACTATCGATCCTACTGAGATTTTACTTTCATGGTGTATTAGAGCAGCTGAAAACTAATTTTCAAACAAATTTTTGCTTCAAAAGGGTTTTTGGTTTTGTAATAAAGCACGCTTGAATTTCTAAGCTTTCGCGTGACGCAGTATTTACATGACGGCCGAGAGAGCTGTCATTTAGGTTAAAAAAGTGACTTTTTTTCGAGGAAGTTTGCTATCTAAACAGTTCAAGTATTAGAAAAAGTATTACTTTAATGTTTGTGAGTTCCTCTAGGAGTAAATTCACGCTTTTGTAGCAAAACTCGGTAACAGATGTTTCTGTTGGTTTCTGTCCACCATGTTGGAGCTCATCCGGATGAGCTCCAGCATGGCGTCTCCATACAAAGCCTTATAAATTTGGGTAAAACATTTAATCGGATATCTCGTATGCGAATTATTCCTTCGACCCAAATGTTGACGAGGGTCTTTGTATATTACCTCCTTTCATTTCCCAGATTCTGGACTTTATCTGTCGAATGGTTTTGATTTTTATTTTGATCTATTTTGAATGGCGTGAGACTGAAAACCAGCAATTCCTAAAAGAAGTCAGAAACAGATTGAGCAAGATTACAAGCACTTCATTTGGTACCATTTTTTGACTGCTGTCATTTAAGGAGGCCGAATTAACAGAAGAAACTGAATTGAAATGTCGTCAAACTGAATAAACTTGAGAAATTTCTCGTTTTGCCTTTTTTGTGATAAGTAAAATACAACAATCACATAAGAAAAATTGACTTAAGCAATGGACGAAAAAAATCCTTAAAATAGTCCACCACATCTAAAAACAATTTGGGCACTTACTTCAAGTTTTCTTAAGGCGAGTGTCGAAAAAACGGTATCGTATTTTTCGTTTTTGCGTACATTTCACTAATCAAGAAGGTGATTTTTATGGAGTTTTTCAGTTTCTAGTTCCAAGCGAAAAGTAGAATTGCCGGAAGCGATCACTGATTCATAATATTCTCAAAGTGCCCTTTGGGAAATTTCTTCGCGTAAACCCTACTTCAGTTTTGCAATATCTAAAGTCAGTCTTTCTTTCCATGTTTGACCCTTGTACCGTAACCCGTCAGTAAAGTTCTGAAAGTTTACTGCCTCCTACTACACAAGTTTCACTTCCTTGAGTTTTTGGTGCGGTCATTGTTCTTGCACTTCTTCCTCTTTGCCTGCTTTAAGAGACTTTACGGACACCCGGATAATATATACGGACACCATTGCACGTCCCCTTGATGTCCGTATTAACCGGGCTCCACTGTATTCAGTTTGGAAATCGGCCATTGCACTCGCAGTTCGTGCAAAGAACAAAAGATAATGTGAACGTCAGATTTACATGAAGCTCTACCCAAACGGCTATTTGAGACAGTAATGGTATTTTCCAAAGTGGCCCATACAAGGCCTTATGTCACGCCGTTTTCACGGACCGGTTTATTTTTAGAGCACTTTTTTTCCCGCGAAAATAGAAGCTTTTCTCCGTCGATGTGCGTATTGTGCCTCAGGGGGCAATTCTAGGACGGGTGCTTTTCCTTTTGTTCGTCAACAATATGCTTCTCCACTTTCACAAGTCAACTATGGATATTTACGCAGACGATTCCACCTTGTCTTTAAGTTCAAATTGGAAAACCATTTCATAACTAAATCAATAATTATCTAAGGACCTAACAGAGACAGAGTGATGGACTACAGAGAACAAAGAAAATGTATTTAAATACGCAAAAATCAAAAGCTTAATGGTTCGTGTTTCCGCACCAATTCGCAGGACCACAATTTCCTTACGATTAAAAAAAAATACAAATAGATTTATCATTTAGCGCTAAAGGTGTATTTAAGGTGCCCTGTCAAGGTTTGTTTGCTAGGTATGGCCTGTCTATCTGTTCTACAGTGACTTAAATTGTTTCTGGAATTGCAGGTGCAGAAAATTCCATCTTCCACCTCGTTCCCATGTTCCTTTCCCTTCCTTCCATGAGGAAGGAAGAGAAAGGAATCTTTGAACGAGCTCGCTCTAGCCTGGAAGTAAATAAATTCGTAAGTGATGAGCTCCAACCAGATGGCGAATTTCATGGTCTGTTAAATAATGCCATTGATTCCTTGTACAGAGAACTTCAGAAAGGCTTGGAGTATACAAACTACGGAATTCATAACTTGATCAAGGTAACTGCTAAAACCGCCCCCTGCCCCTCCCCACTAGCGCTAAATTATCGTTGTAGATGTTTTTAATTTTCAACAATATCCCAAGACAGGTAATCGGCTCTTTCCCTAGCAGACACTGGATTTATTTCAAAAGGGTGTGGCACAGGAAAACCAGCCGGCAGTTGAAATGTTTGCCTCTGCCAGTTATTTCAAAAGGCGATAGTTTTTTTAATACAGTGAAAGATGCTAGGAAATAGTAAAATTTGAAACACAGGTAAATGACTGCCACAACTCCTGCCATGTTAAAACACTTCTTGAAAGTACAAGATAAACTAAGCTGTTCCAAGAATACATGAATCGGTTCACCTCTCCTTCCCTCAATAATGTTTCGTGGGTTTGCTTGGGCATAGACGTCTTCAAAATTAACATTGAAGGGGAAGTGGAGAAGAAATTCGCAAGCGTTTCTCAACAATTATGACCGGGGATGTATCTTTAATACCAAATCACTGATTTTTATCCTTAAAAGTTACGAGTAGCGTCTCCGATACTTTGGCCTTAGAGTCCCGTCTACTAATCCGGAGGGGTTTCTAGATCTTGGGCCGTGGTCGTCGTGAGTTTAGCACGAAAGCAATAATAAAACGTGCTATGATTAGATTTTACATGTCGCCTTGTCTTTTTAGGGCGGATCCATAGCAAAAGGCACTGCATTAAAAAACAACGCCGACCTGGATTGCTTGATGGTCATGAACGGTATTGAAAACGCTTCCCAGTTGAGCAGCAAACTACCTGACATCTTGTACATGCTAGAGTCACGCTTGGGGAGTAGTATAGGGGACTCCCGGAGTTTGACTTCCATAAAGAAGACGCGGTTCTCCTTGCAGTTTAACATGTCACGTTATTTCAACCCTGGGGAGTCTGTTAAGGTTGATCTTTTGCCCACATTTGAAGCAAGCGTAGGAGACATCGATGGTACGTACGTAACCGCAGGAGTTGAAACGCTGAGTTACTCAGAGAGTAGTTAGTGCACGGTTGTTTGAATGAGAGGCCCCCTTGAAGAAATTCCCAGTTAACTCAACGTTCATAGCCCAACCTAACTTAACTCATCGCACAACTTCTTTTTACCCTATGTACAAATGAAATTGTTCATCCGGTTTTGAATGAAGTCAGCAAAATGTATAAAAAATTGATTGTCGATCAGCTAAAGATTTGTTTTGTTTTTTTCTTTTTTGGTCAATTAACATGTGTTTCCAGTACGGCAATCTCTTTTTTTTTATTACCTCTTGCAATCTTGTTTTGATTTATTGTTTGGTTCCTCATTTTATCTTCATCACAACTACTTCTCTTATACCATTCTAAATTTCTTTTTCTTTCCATAATTTCAAGTAATTATACAAATTTTTGCTTCACTTGTATATCTCACGCCACTCTGTGTTCATTTCACTTCTTTTTGTATCTCAGTGTTTTTTTTTTTTGAAACAAAAGACTGGTCTTAACTTTTGTGCAACATCTTGAATTTCATTTTATTTTGTTTGCCATCAACATCTTCCACTAGTTTTCTAACGTGCTCAAAGCTCTTTGGACAAAGACCACATCGCCGCTCCAACTGAAATTCGGTCGGTCCTACTACATGCATGGCGACAGTTTCAAATTCCCCTACCCTAGGTAGTCAGGTCTCTTAAGGTCAGGATCGTTACAGAGTTGACAAAAGCACCAAACTTTGCACAGCGATAGCTTATTGCAGTACCATGAATATTAGAGGGGGGTCCCAATGCAAATATGCCACTGAAGTGTGCTAAACAGGATTTAATTATTGTAAATTTCACCTGCTGGGGGCCCTGTGGTGTTTTGATTGAAAATTGTTATTTAACACCTTAAATGACTCAGAATGCTCTTCTCATGTTGTAAACAACAATTTCACTCGAACATCTGGCATTCCCATCCATTATTAGCTTATTGATTGTATAATTAAGTTAATTATTACTGTGCTCTTAAAGCAAGTCCACAGTCCGCCCACGTTTCATAAGTCATTTCTAAGATGGCCTTGTCTTTGCTTCATAACCTGCAAGTACTCAGCTTATGGGGTTCCCTTCTCCTTTTCTGATGTATTTCAATTAGAGGAGGCCTTATTGTGTGGCTTAAGCCGTATTTATCAAGTATTACTTGTCACTAAATGTCACTTTAAGCTAAAGAAAGGGTATGGCATAGCGATTCACACACAAAATTCAGAAAAAAGAAATTGTCGAAGAGTCTGTTGTATCACATATTATCAGGGATTTAATGACAGCTGTTCATGAAGAGCAAATAACGAAATGACAGAACCCAAAATAGTTCTTTCCTAAGGAGGTAATTGATTCTTCAGCTTAACATAGGCCTGGATGCCTTTCAGTCTCTCTTTATCTGCTGGACGCACGTGCCTGTTTTGACAGAGAAGCAAGCATCGTGGCACAAGTCATATCATTTACAATCCCCGCAGTTTGTCTAAGCTTTACAAAGCAAAAACAAACAAAAGAAATCTGGTCTCATAAACGAAAAAACAGAAACTAGGTAACCCAAGCTTCAATAAAAAACAGCACAGTTTATCATGAAGCCTCTACATTTGGCACTGAAGCACTCATGTCTAAAAATAATAACAGCTTATCAAGTCGTAAAGGTGAGACTCAACTGGTACAAGATTGACTCAAATGATAAATGGTGAATGGTTTAACTGCTGAAACTGTGGAAAGGAGGCCGGGCTAACTTTTAGGGCCTGTTTACATGGAGGAGGGGGACCGCAGGTAGGCATGGTAACCCACTTAGGTGGGGTAACCCGCCGGTCCATATAATCTCTCATTTTAATTTGATCACGTTTACATGATAGGTGGGGTGACCCTTGAAGGTGGGTAGCCCGGTCTGCCACATCGGGTAACCCTCTCAGCTGAGGTCAAATTTTGCCATGTCAACGTTTCAAGGAGAGGTAACCCAGGCTAGTCGGGGTCGGATTCGTGATACATCAAATTCGCGCAAAATTCACTTTGGCGCCGGGTGGCTTCACATAATTAATAAAAGTAACGATAGAAAGCCACAACACTGAAGGTTGCAGCAACAGCAGGCAAGGTTTGCCATCACTTGTCTTGGTTACGTGCTTAGCGACCATTCAGTAATCTTGAGAAAGTGCACCCCAGGATGGCGGGATTGTAAGATTGCATGTAAAGGAGGGTTATTTTTTTTCCCCCACCTCAGCAGGTTACCTCACCTACCTGGGGGCCGGTCACCCACCTTTATGTTAACAGGCCCTAAGTCTAAGGAACCGTGAAACTGGTAGTAAACGGTATACCTAACCCGGGACTAGCTGTGATACTACTTCCATCTTCAAAAACGTCAGCATTATGTATAGCAGCCAAAGGAGCCATTACATCGGTGTAACACGAATATTAGATTGCGGTTGTTTCATGCGTCTCGTTTTGTGACTTTTTTTGTGTTCGTTTTTGTCACCATCTCTAAATTTCAAGAATGATATTCAGCAATAAAAACAAGGCGTGATCAGGAGCCGATTTCTAGGCTCCTGGTGTGGCAACATAGGCATAGGTGAATGCAAAGTTATGCGGTATGTAATCTGTCAGAAATCTGTTTGAGTGGTCAAAAATGGGGCTGATGGGCTTCTTTATCATGACCACTCCATTATTATAAGGGACAAGGCCACAGTTATTGTTGACCCTTGCTTTTTTGGTATTTTCTGTAATTTTCCACAGCATTATTTTGTGAAAAATAAGTAATTGAATTGCTATTGAGGAATTCATGATCGTAAGATTTCGTAACCACGAAGTATTCGCCTAATTGCATCAAACAAATTACATTAATTTTCATAAATGATGAAGTGAATGAGCTCCCTACAGGCGTTTAGGCATGCAGGACCTCGTATACGTCTTTTTAAATGCAAATTTGTAAAAAATAAAGAGTGTTAAAAATTCCTGGAGAGAAATGTTTTACAACCTCGTCCCCAGGGCTTAATAAAAAGGTAGAAAAAGGCAAAGCGACCATATTTTACGTCAATAACTCGTGACAGTAATAATAACTGATAAACTTGAGGTCGACGGTGCGCTCCTTTTACCCACCCCCTCTCTCCATTAATGCTGCGTTTAAAGGGTATTTAAAGCTAGTCAAAGCTACACAGAAAGGAGAGAAGTTGAAATATGGATGTGTTGACACCGGGGATCGAACTCGGGACCTCACGCACCGAAGGCTGCGCACTAACCAATTGTGCCACCCTAGCTCCTCCTTTTCCCTCGGAGGACGAGGTTGACATGTTTTAATCATTATCTTAAGGACAGGGTTACCAACAAAGCAAATTATAATCTAATCTTAGTTTTACAATTACAAAGTGGGCGCGTTGTCAGTTACGGTTCATGAGGTCGTTCATGTGGCATGTCAAAATTTAACGGTTCTATCGTTTAGGAAGTGATACATTTGGGTTTTATGTTATTGTATGACATCTTTGAAAGTTGGCTTTGTGATCTGTTTAAATTGACATGTAATGATCTTATCACTGGCAAGTCTCAGCAGTGACACTGATAGCCGCACAGTGAACATGGCCACACTTACCATGTGGAGACTGGGAACTAGTCAGCATTATGTACATGTAAAACTATTTTGAATAGTGTAATTACAACTAAGCATTACCAAATTAAAAACTTAAAAATTTGAAACAAATGTTTTTAGCCAAATCAAACAAGAAGAGTACTCACCACAGGGAACCCAATTTGCCATTATAGGTGAAAGTTACCCCCCCCCCCCCTTTTATCTGTAATTAGGACCATTTGTAACGGGCACCCCCTCCAGTATTAATCGGCAGGTGCTAAGGAAGCTCTGTGCCAAATTTGACACATTTTTCACGTCTGTAACGATCCGGCCTATATTTTGCACTAAGAGACCGGACTAAGGGGTTTGCACATCAGTCCAATAGTATACCTACCCAGGGGACAGCTCTCAAATCAAATTCCCATGAGAAGGCATTATTCCGCCCCATTCTCATCAGGGGTTTACCATTTCATATGTAGGTGCAACAGACATACATAATCTTTGTGCGCAGATAAAACTACCAAACAGTGATTTTTGGGTTGTTGGTCAACTGCCCATCAGTGAAGCTACAGACATGCGCAATCTTGAGAAACGATTTATGAACTTTTATTACATCTTTTATGATGTTGAATCTGAGGAGAGATTTAATCTGATCAGCGTTTAGTTAAAATACTTTTATGATGTTACATCTAAGCAGAGATTCAATACTCTTTGTCTTAGAGCGAGAAAGGTTTTACAGAAAAATGCTTGAGGACAAAAAGAACTGGCCATACTACTCCGCAGCCCTTGTGATGATTCAGAAACACTTCGTCAAGGAACGGCCTGCACTCGTAAAAAACTTGATTCGGTTGGTGAAGTATTGGCGCAAGACGTATATTCCACAGGTTGGTAGTAAGCATGTCCCACCCTCCTATCTTCTGGAACTTCTCACAATACATGCCTGGGAAAATGCAAATCATCCAGAAAGCTTTGACTTGAAGATTGGTTTAAAAGCTGTTTTGGAGGTTCTAAAGAATCACCAAAGTCTTCGTGTTTCCTGGGGAGATTACTACAGAAAGAATTTAATTCCAAGCAGGTACATTCATGGAGTGCTCTAAATTAGTTTAACCAGGATAAACGAACCGCCTTTTAGATTCTTGAGGACATAGGCCGTCTCGGATGTTTATAAACCGGTATGTTCTTTTTACCTTATTTCAACCAGTTGCCAAATCCGCTAGGAATGTCTATCGAGGCAAGAAATTTGTAACACGTTAATTTTAGAAATATAGCAATTGGACAAATTTTCTTTTACCGGATAATTTTATTTATGGTATATTTTCCTTTTTGGCATTTCAGTCTCCTGTATGGGCCATATGTAATTGATCCTGCCAACCCAACCAACAACCTGCACGACGCTGTTGACTGCTGGGATGAGGTGAAAAAGGTTGCAGAAGAAACCATGCGGAAACCCCTTCTCAGAGATGTGTGGGTTACAGCTAACTGGAGATGAAGAACCACGATTTTATAGGATTTATTTGTAATATGTAGAGTCCCTAAAGGGATTAGGGTATAATTTTGAGTGTGTAGTGTTTAGCAGCCAAGCGTGTCATCGATAGCGTCATCAACTTTGTAACCGCGTGATATCTATTTCTTAAACTATTGTAAGTAGTCACCCTGTATTAGTTTTGCAGTTCATTAAAGCTTCTAGTAAGATAACAAGTCTCCACGTTCTTTAGGAATACGAGAACTCAACAGAGTTAACATCTGAAATTTCCTCTGTTTTGTGTACTATCAAAACAACGAAATAAAATGGTGTTTGGTGACATTTTGAGCCGATGAGAAGGCTACCCAGATCGTTTATCAAATTTCTTATTTCTGCTACCGGCCATCTTGAACTGAAATTTGTTTCAGAGTGATGAGAAGGTCACCCAAACCATTTACCAAAATTTCAATTTGGGCTTCTTTTCATCTTCGAAGTTTTACCACAGAGAATAACCTACAATCGAGAAAGTATGTTATAGCTCATAATTCCCTCGCCCCAAATTCATAAATAGCCATGATCATAAAAATCAGTTTCTCACAGTGACTTATTCAGGACATGTGTCAATCAACAGTTGCAATATTATGAAAGCAATCATCGCAATTCAGTACTGTGTAACTCGTTACATTTTAATCCCATATTTCTTCTGAGGAGGTCCATGTTTACTTCGGGTGCATGTACAGAGTCAACGATTAAAAGAGAGTTAAAAAAAGCGCGTACATCTTGTTTGTATCATACAGTCGACTTAACTTCGTTTTCTTAAATACAAGGCGAGTGTGCAACCTTGTTCCCAGGGTCCACTCCTACTCTTCCTCCGGGAGGATGAGCGGGAGAGGAATCTGGGAACGAGGTTGGACAAGTGTGTAGGGATGTGTAATAAAAATCACCACGCTTGGAGCCTGAATCACGCCCAACGCTTCTTCATTTCCCTAAGAAAAATTAAAAAGATAATATAATAAGTATGTATTGACAAATAAAATAATACACAAAAACAAAGAACTCACCCGGCAAACCGCTTGTGTTCGCGAAGTAGAGGCACCCAACGACCGAATGTTTCCAAATACGCCACAGCTTTCTCAGATGGTTTTCTCTATGCTTTAGAAGCCTGTTTGGTTAATTTGGAGTTGCCCTAAAAACTATATATTTACCTGTTCGGATGTCTTAGGGGAACTTTGGTCGTTACGAAAGTCCAAGGTGGCTTTTTCGTCTCATCCGAAAGTGTTAGCTACCCTTATGGGTCAGGTCGAAAGTTCAAGGACATGAAGTAGCCTTGCTTTCATTAGCAAATTATAGGGGGCGTTTTGTCTTTATAGCGAAAGTTCTAGGAGACCTTTTTTTACAATAATCGCAATACCTTGGTATGAAAATGTGAATAACACAAGGTCCGAAAATCATTATTAAGCTACTGGAAAACCTCCGAATATTTTAGACAAATAAAACGGTTATCTAGAAAGTTTTTGCTTTTCTCAAGCTTTAAAAATTTCTAGGCAATATTTGCTTCTTCGAACAGTTATTTTACTGAAAAAAAGTCGCTGGGTTGTTTTGTCACAATATTTTTGACTAACTAGTTGGATTTTACTGAAACAATTATTCCTCTGGCCCTCATGGCCTCTGAGCTCAATAGCCCATCCGGCCTCGAGGAATAATTGTGAAATAAACCGTCAAGTTCCGAAAATAACGACCCTTCGAAAGTAGCGAACCTCCGGGAGTAGCATTAAAATGTCACAGGTGTTCATAACAATACCGAAAGTAGCGTTTTCCCCGAAAATGACAACCCATCGAAAGTAGAGACCTCAAAACTAATTTCCCTTTTTGAAATAAATAACAGATGTGATAGATTCCTGGTCATGAACAAATGCCCTGACTGATCCGAGGTTTATTAATAATGATTATTTGACATTCCTATTTATAACTCTTAAAGTACAGGATAACATTACCTTTTTAAAAAAGTATTCCTTTCACGTTTTTTGGAGTACACGTTTTAGCCATCCGAAAGTAACAACCCCCTGAAACTAGCGAGCTCAGCGCCGAAGGTAGAAATAGCGGAAGAACGCCAAATTCGAAAGTAACGAAGGCCGTTACTTTCGAAACTTTACGGTAACTGACCATAACTCATAGCAGATTTCACTTTGTAATTTCAGATGTCCATGAGTTGTTTTCCATAGTGACTATCGCATGATGAGGCACATATTGCTGGTTTTCAGCTACCAGAAAACGCGGCCATACTGCTGGAAAAAATAATAATTTTTTGGCAAAATTTGCATGAAGAGAGTGTTAAGTTTCCAACCGAGGTGAAAGCTTTTGTTCTTGTCCCGTCAGCTTCCAGCAAAAATAAACTCCAATTTAAAATACAACAGTGGGTTATTTAGTCGCTTTTAGTACAATTATTACCCTCTACCAGTATTCGCCAAAAAAGTGGCATTTTTTTCAGCCAGGATAACTTCGTGAGCTATTCTCGGTATAACCATTGTTAACGACGTGGGGATTTTCCCTCTTTCAGGCCACTTTAAGCGCATGCACGTGTGAAATACAAATAAAACGAACCAGGAAAGTTTAGCTTCGCAGACGCTCTGTGGCTTTTACTCGAGAAGCGTCGTTCTCAAGTTATCATTGAGCAGTGAGCTAGATATGGATTCGCTGTTGAAATCTTTTCAGTGTACATTTTGCTCGAAGCAGTTTACCACCGATAATGGAAATGATGATCATCAAAGAGCCGTACATAGTGTTAAATATACGCAATCGAAACCTTTTGCGTGTACGGTTTGCCCGAAACGGTTTACTACAGATAAGGACCTAAAGCATCATGTGAAAAGCGCAAGCAAGAGGCATAAGAAAATGACAGGTAATAACCATCAGTCATAAAACTTTTACATATACTGTCAAAAAGTATCTAATGCAACTGTTTATATCCATGTTTCAGGTGATATATCTTGTTCATATCCATTTTGTCAACGTAAATTTCAATCTCATGACGAGTTTGCCTCCCGCACCTTAAAGCATCATTTGGAAAACCCAGGCAATTGGCATGAGAGAAAAGGTAATATTAGCAATAATACAACTTTTACATAAACGTTTATTTCGAGTCCTAATGGTACGGCATGATGGGTCAATGAGTCATTTAAACAAAAAAGAATCTCTAAATGATAACAATTATCGAGTCAGTGTTTAACCCTGCCTAAAAAGTATAGACTCTCTGTATGGTAATTTATGACGAAATCGCCGACGTGATGGAAAACGCGCGACGAAAACGACCTCCGCAGAATCTAGCCTGCATGACAGGCGCTTTATTTGCCACGCGAGGCCAACGCGGCATTTTGCGCGAAGCGCAAGAGGAGGGGAGGAAAAAATGAAGCACTTATTAATTAATTTTTGTCCTCCCTTCGTCTCGCGCTTCCCTCAACGTTCGCCTCGCATGGCTAATAAGGGCATGTTATGTAGGCTAATGCTGATCTCACTCATGACTTGACTCATAATTTATAGATTCATTTGACTCATAAAACAAGCCTTCTCACGGCATGAAGGGAAACCGAAAACTACTTTTTGAGCGAAGGACACCAACCGGAAGTGGACCTTTTTTTGTCATGTTTTTGTGGACCTTACGGTGCACAACCAATAGCATTCCTATCATTTTGGTCTTATTGACCAATAAAGACGTCGCATTCATTCATTCTGTCACTATTTGTGAACGGTAAATTCAAAGGATTGTGCACCAGGAGCTTCCAACAAAAACTGCAGCACCGCTGTCCTCTTATTTTTGAAGCTTGCCGGCTCTCATAACTGGTCTGCCCTTCAAACAGGTAAGTTGAGTACAATTTGCGATGCAAATGTTGTAGCGTTGATGCACGCTACAGTCGAACTTACGGGAGGTGGTCGCTTACGAGAGTCGGACCGAATGGGCGAAATTTTTAACTCAATACAACCTAAAATTCTAAAAAAAATTATGAAAGTTTACTTTCCCCTGCCAATAGGCCACTTCCGAGTTCCAAAAACCCTTACTTTCAAAATGAGGCTAGGTGCGCAACTTTTCTTGTGAAAATGAGTTTTATTTGCATGAGAATGAAAAATCATTTCCATATCAAAGGTTAAGCACCTACCCTCGTTTTGAAACAGTGACCCGTGGGAACTCGGAAATGGCCTATTACTGGTAGTTTGATCGACAAAATCATTGGCTATTCTATGTGACAGTTCATTTGCGGAAGTGCAGTTAGCTAGATAACGCGCGTTATAAATTTGTGGTTAAAAAGTTATCTGTGTACGTGACTTCTTGTACAGAAATGTCCTTAAAACGTCTGAAGACGAAAGTTAACTTTTTAAACTAAAACCTTGAAATCTGAGTCTTTCTCAAGGGTAGTAGTTAATATTGTACTTATAGATCGAACTAATAAACACAGTAATAGATCACACAACAATGACAGCCAAAGAATAAATTCCTTTTTGTCCATTTTTAAAATGTACTTCACTGTTTAATTAAATAAAATAATAAATAGCTTTTGCAATACTATGTGTACTTGTATGGTCATGCAAATAAAGCTTGTTTTTGTTGGAAAAGGGAAAAGGCCTTGTTGGCAGGCGAATACGAAGAAGAAAAGTCTCATATTTTGTTGTTTTTTTTCTTTCTGTTTGCGTGCTTAGAGAAAGGACTCTTTGATCGAGCTTGTTCCAGCGAGGAAGTGAATATATTAATACATGATGAGCTGAAGCCAGATGAAGGATTTCATGGTCTCTATGAGAAAGCTATTGATTCCTTGGAAAAAAAGTTACGAAAAGTCTTGCCGAATACATTCTATGGGATTCATAGCTTCATCGAGGTAAGTGGTGAAACAGCTCTCCAATCCCCAAATTGAGAAAGACGCCGGGATTATAGTATCGTTGTAGATGCCGTTAAGTTTCAATACTATGCCTAGATTTGGTTTCCTAGCCCAGAAGATACTGGAAAAAAGAAATGAACCTAGTATATGGCCTCGCTCTCCATGAGTTCTCCGTAGCTCAAGTGGATAGAGCGCCCGCCCGGTGTTTGGGAGATCATAGTTTCGAATCCTGTCGGGAACTCAGATATTTTCTTTGTCCTTGACTCGTGACATGTTGATCATGTCATTTTCACAAGATACTGGATGTCTTTAAAAAGGGCGTGGCACGCGAAAACCAGCCAGCAGAATTATTCTTAAAAATACTAAAGGTGATAGTTTTTTAATAGAGAGAAAGGTACTAGGAATTAGACCTTTTTACCGATACGGCGGTCATATTAAATTAATTCGATTTAAGAAGTATTATAGGATGTCCAGGGGGCATGAGCACATTTCGTTTGTATTTTCGAGCGCTTTTCGGGTTATTTTTTCTTAAAGTTTTCTTAGAATAAGATTGTAATGGGAAAAAAAAGATCCTTGTGTCGTGTTTTGATGTAACAATGATCGCCTTTTTCCCGAGAAATATACAGTGAAAGACCTTATTTCTAATACTAAACTAGAAAAAGGAGATCATTATTACATCCAAACACGACACAAGGATCTTTTTTCCCATAACAATCTTATTCTAAGAAAACTTTAAGAAAAAATGTCCCGAAAAGCGCTCGAAAATACAAACGAAATGTGGCTCATATACCATGATGGCTAGGCCAATCAGAGCTCTAAAATTGCATTATCCAATGATTCAGTTTTTAATAAATATATATATCTAGCAAGAAAGTGATAAAAATGCTATGATTAGACTCTACATGTTTGCCTTATATTTGTAGGCTGAATCTATTGCAAAAGGCACTGCATTAAAAAACCACTCCGACCTAAACTGCGTGATGATCACGACGAACATTAAAGACGCTTCCCAGTTAAAAGCAGAACTACCCAACGTCCTACGTGACCTAAAGAAACGTTTGGGGAGCAGTATAGGGGTCAAATGGAAACTAACTTTAAAAGAAAAAACGCCGTTTTCGTTGGTGTTTAACATGTCACGTCATTCCAACCCTAAAGACACTATTACGGTTGCTGTCTTGCCAACATTTGAGGCAAACGTAGAAGGTAAAAATGATATGTACTTATTTAAGCGCAAGGGTTGCAACATTGCGTTCATGGAAAGTGGTGACAGGCACAGTTTAGTTAGTGCACGGCTTTCTGAATGGGAGGCCCAAGCTCGAATTCCATTAGTAGCCTAAGACACACAACTGATTAACTTTACTGTAACATCTTGAACTTCTTAAAATTTTGTTTCCCCTAAATCAGTCTTCAATGAGCTTAGTAATGTACTCAAAGCCCTTTTAGATAAAGACCTGACCTCATGGTCGCTCCAAGTAAAATTTCTATGGGTAGATGGCACCCCCCCAATAATAGCCACTATAATGGCGATAACGGCTAGAAATTCGGTCTGTTTAGTTTCTACCGGTGTCGTGTTTATGACTTGCAAATTTCAATGCGTCAGTTCACTTGGTATTCCCCAACGCTGGGAAGTGCAACAGAGATACAAAATCTTGAGAAAAACGATTCATCAGCTTTTTGTAAAAATACTTTTATGACGTTAAGTCTGAGAAGAAATTAAATATTCTTTGTCTTAAAAGGAGAAACGTTTTACAAAGAAATGCTTAGCGATACTAAAGAGAACTGGCCATACTACTCGGCTGCTCTTGTGAAGATACAAAGGGACTTCGTCAAAAAACGGCCCGCAAGCGTAAAATACCTGATTCGAATGGTGAAGTACTGGTGCAAGAAGTACATTCCACTGAGTGGTAGTAAGCGTCTCCCGCCCTCCTATCTGCTGGAGCTTCTCACAATACACGCCTGGGAAAATGCAAATCCACTGAATCCTCCAGAGAGCTTTGACATGAAGATTGGTTTTAAAGCTGTTATGGAGGTTCTAAAGAATCACCAAAGTCTTCGTGTTTATTGGGAAGATTACTACAGAAGGGATTTGATTCCAATCAGGTAGATTCATGGAGAGTTTGAAATTGCTTTTACTACTGTAGGACATTCTCGACGACATAGGCGTCTCGGATGTCGATAAACCGGCATAAAATTTCGACAAACGTCCCTTTACCCTCCCCTCCCTCTGACGCATTGAGTCCTTCATTCCCATAATCCTTTTTCTTTATTTCAATCAGCTGAAAAGTTCGCAAGTAATGACTCTCATGGCAAGACATTGGTAACACGTGGCTGATTTTAAAATTTATAGCAATTGCACAAATTCTTTCACTATGGAATTTTATTTATGGCATATTTTCTTTTTTGGCATTTCAGTCTTCTGAATGAGGCATATATCATTGATCCCGCCAACCCAACCAACAACCTGTACGCCAGTGTTGACTGCTGGGATGAGGTGAAAAAGGTTGCAGAAGAAACCATGCGGAAACCCCTTCTCAGAGATGTATGGGTTACTTTTAACTGGGGGTGAAGAACCACGAGTTCTGAAACAAATTCTCATGGTGCAAAAGAAATTTTGAATTTTTGCAAATTTTATTTCCTAAATCAGATTTGAAAACTGAGGCAATTCTATGTAAGGAAGTTGCCAAGGCACATAATAGACAGTAGCCTAGTTTGTACGCGCATTGTTACCAAGAAAGGTTTTGCTAATTTAAAAGTGAGTTCTTTGGAGAAAACAATCCTTCAATATTTCCACAGCTCATGATAAATTACATCGAGATTCTAAGTTTATAAAAGATTGCGAAAGTAATTTGCAAAATTGGTAAAGAACCTCAAAAGTTAAGCTAACATTAACACTTACTTCCCACTTAGTGCAAAATGATGGCTTAGGGGAGGGGTAGGTGGGCAGTTTCCACACATATCCGTTTTTGTTTGAAACCGGATTTTTTTTCTCCGGTTTTGCCTATTGTCTACACGTACCCAATGAAAACAGTCAACGAAAAAGCACCTTTTCAAAAACGCTGGCTTTTTGTGTATACAGCTATTTCGAGAAATGTTGTCGGAAAAAATGTGCACGCAACAATCCCGAAAGGTAATATTGGATATGGTCAATACACTGTTCCTGACACCTTAGCTGTCGAACCCACTTTTGTTGCTTTCCTTTAGCACTCACAAACATATGTCCATTGTCTCTCGTGCCATTCTTTCAAACTTCTTCGGAGAACAGTAGAATCAAAACCACCCACAATCCCTTTCGGGATTGTCGCGTGCACTACCTGTTTCGAAATAGCTGTATGTGGACGGACGAAAACGGAGGTGTTCGAACACGATATCATACATCATATACTTCGGGCATGACACATTTCTCAATAAGGCATGCTATCGTATTTCCATCGCTTTAGCGTTTTCATGTGGACGGGCAAAAACGATTCGAATACGCTACGTGTGGATGAGTATTTTTTTAAAAACGGGGAAATAATATCCGTTTCCAAAAGTATCCGGATACGTATGGACGGGGCCTTAGACGATCATAGACACCACAGAGCATTCCAAAACACACTAGAACACTTCGGACAACCAATCAACAAGTAAATTGGCCAAGACAAACCAAGACACTAACCAGAAAATATTAATTACTTTTTTTTTGTTTTATTAATTTCACTATTTTAGATGTTTCAGTTAAGTCGAGGTAGCCTTTGATTTTGGGTCAGACTCATATTTCTTTTTTCTTTTCGTCGAAATCAGGTCCAAATCGACCAAGAAATGATGTTTATAAGTTTTAGAGTAGCGACAAGGTTATCAAGACTCTTGATTTTGGCTCGAGGCCATCTTGATTTTGGGTCTGTGGTATTTGAAGGTTATATTTAGCAACCAGCCATGTAAGGCAATATCAGCTGAGTAATCGCATGATATCTATTTCTAATATAATTCGGTAAGTAGTAATTAGTTCTGCAGTTCAATCGGGGTTCATACAAAAACTTGCAACCATTTTTCAAGGACCACATTAGATTTTCAAGGACCACCTACTATGAATACAATTTCACACATTGTACAAAAATGAACATTCCTAGTCTATTGTAATAAGACTTTAAGGCTTGAACTGTTTGCTTCACCAACTTCTCTACATTTTTCAGTTCACTGGTCTTAAATTGATAGTTAATTATTGCATGAAACATAGAGCACTTTATGTAAATAACTTTTAAATTCTCTGAGCTATGATTTATATTCTGTCTTGGACAACCAAAGAGCATAAAAAAACTCTTTCCAGGCCACTACATTCAAAGTTGAAGAAAATTCAAGGACTTTTCAAGGAAAAATAGAATTCAAAGACTTTAAGGACCTTCCCTTAAGTTCAAGGACGTTTCAAGTTTGTGCGAGCCTGTCAATAAAGCTTTCAGTGAGATAACTAGGCGCCACATTCTTTAACAATTCAAGTGCTCGACAAATCAAAATTTTAAATGTTGTTTAGTTTGTGTATTGTCAAAACAATGCAAGAAAATGGTGTTTGGTGACATTTTGAGCCCGTGACAATACACCTATAAATTATTTATCATATTCTGCTTTCAGCTGGCGGCCATCTTGGATTTTTCATAACGAGTTCACCAATGAGTTTGGGTCAAAATCTGAAATTTGCTACGTGTTTGTTTATTGCAAAAGTGCACCAGGGTGTTTCAGAGTGATGAGAGGGTCACTAAAACCATTTACAAAGATTTCGATTTGGGTTTCTTTTCATCTTCGAATTTTTACGGACTAGAGCAAGTCGTTCAATCACATCGAACATCGTGCCCGAGAGGTTGGCCGAGAGGGTTTGGGCACTACATTCTAGTCCTTACTTCTGAAAATTTACTTCCGTCTAACCATTTCGATATGTGATGCTAACACCGCGGCAAAACGCATTGCGCATAAGCACAAAATTTAACATCCGGTCAGCTTTTTATTTCCGGTCTAGTAAATAAACCAATTGCGTAAGCGTAACATTGCCGTCGCGCCAAGTTTATAAGCCAAAAAAGGGTGAAACAGACAAAAAAGGGGGCGAAAAAAATCACTTCATTCGATAGCTGATAAATTAGCTGATAAAAGTGTGTCACAGTGATTTATTCATGTGCCATCAATCAACAGTTGCAATAAAAACAATCACCACAATTCAGTACTGTGAGTAACTCATTATATATTAATCCCATATTTCTTCCGAGGAGGTCTATGTTTTCTCCAGGTGTACAGAGTCAACGATTAAAAGAGAGTTAAATAAAAGCACGTACATCTTGTTTGTATCATACAGTCGACTATTTATAACTTTGTTTCCTTAAATACAAGGCGAGTGTGTAATCTAGTTCCCAGGGTCCTGTCCGACTCGTCCCTCGAGAGGATGAGTAGGGGAGGGACCTAGGAACGGGATTTGACGAGTGTGCCGCGATGTGTAGGTGATATCATCACGCTTGGAGCCTGCATTACGCCCAACGCGGCTTTTTTTTTCATCTAGGGAAAATTGAAAATATAACATATAAGTATATATACTGACAAACAGAAAATACAAAAGAACTAAGGACTCACCCGATAAATCCCTTCCTTTCTCGAAGTAACGGGGTGAAACCCACGATTTGGAGTTTACAAGAAGTTTTCTCACGTTTTGTCTCTTCGCTGACATAAAAGTTCAATCGTACTCTGTGAAAAGTCTGATCAACGCTAGGGTCAGAATAGAGTCCTCATTCAATTTAGATATGATGCCCACGGTATGGGCAGCCCCTGAACAGGCTCTCTTGTGGGGAAGGGATGAAGAGAAAGCTAAAGAGTGCGAACAGATGGAAAGGGGCGGAGGAGAGGGGAGGAGAAGAGGCTACCGGTTCCCTCACCACGTTCCTCTGGAAGCTTATTCACAGGCAGGCTAAGCCTATGGGTATTACTTTGTCCTGTTACGGCTTAAAGTTGACTATAACTTGAGACATTTTCGGGAAACTGTGGATAACTTCAACAGCTTGCGTAAAATTCCGTCCCATAGTCTCTGATTTTCTCCAGCGCCAGTAGAGCGAGGGTTTTTACTGAAAGATCTCCGGCTGGCCAAAAAATACGCCTGCACTACGGGCAAGGATGAAGACAAGGCCAGAAGGGGCGCGAGAGACCTGAAGGGACACAGCAAAGAGATGGCGAGAAAGCACGAAAGAGGCCAGGGGCAGGCAAAGAGAAGCAGCAAAGAGCGAACTGATAGGAGTCTTTTCATAGATTGTTATCATCATGTCTCTGCTTAGTGTTCTATAACAAGTAATTGATCGCCGTTTCAGGATATCGTCCTAGCACTGGATTCCTACCGCTCTCAAGAGTCATCAACTGTCAGTGGATACCTACCATTTGTCGTTACCTTTCTTTATAGTCCAAGTCAGTACTAGCAATGGGATCTTTGCCACGGTAATCCTTAAGCTTGTAGCTTCGTTTTCTATCTGTTTTAAAAGGTGAAATCAAGGGCGAAGGATCTAAAGATAAGACGAAAAATATCGTAAAAATTCAGTTCAGTAGGATTGGTAGTCACCTGTTTTGAATTGTGGATTAAGCAAAGTAGACCCTCATCAGATTGCCAGATGTGAGTGAGCCACAAGACAGAATTTTATCGACCAAAGTAGACGCGCACGGTGACAACCCCTCTTCAATTCAGTTGAATACACCAAAAATAAGTTTTTACAGTTCATCCGCAAATGTCTTCATGCTTAAGTAGAAAAAATGCCTCAGTTCATTGGGCATTTATGGGTGTGACCACGATTTGTAAGGTAATCCCTTCCAAGAGAGCTGAAAAACAATTGAGCGAAAGTTACCAAAGAAAGCTTAAATGTTACGAGTGTTGAGACATCGAAAAAGAAAAAGTTGCCTAGTCGAAACTACGGATCGAAAGAACCATGAGTAATAAGAACCTGCAGATTTAGCCACAAATAAGTAATTTTCCATCAAAAAAAAAAAAACACTGACTTAGTATGACCCTTTTCAGTTTTATCGCGTATTGTGTTTCATGATAGGATAAGCCCAAAACACACCCGAGCTCGTAACTTGGTATGTGATCATGAGCTCCGCATCATCGCTCGACTACTCGAAACATCACATTTTCGATCCCAACACCCTTCTCTTTTGGCATGTCGGACGACAAGTTAACAAAGAAGAGCCTTCGCTTCGTCTCCAGTCCTCTCCAGCCGGCCGGATGAGAGCCCAAGGTTCAAGAATACTGTGACCATGTATGAGGTCTAGTAAACACATGCACGTAAACACAAAAAGCAAAACAAAAAAAAAAACTAACTTTCCGAGACGGTGGATAAAGTGTTATCCGATGACGGAGACCATTCTGAAACAGGCATAGTCTTACTTGTCGGTGGTCTGCAAATGAGAGAAAGATGATACAGTCACTGTGAGGGAAGAGAGAAAAAAGGGATGAAAAAGCACCATTTCAAAAGAATGTGTCCAGAGAAGTTTATAAATCTTATTTGCATTTTGTTTTGAAATATGAACACCATATTCCAATGAGAAACCCATTGTGGTATTTATTGATCTAAAATTATTTTGCGTACAAATATATTCAAAGTAAAGAAAGTTATTATTTGTTGAATGAGATAATAAACAAGTACAACCAAAACGATCCTAAATGGCATTCATCTATCAATTTAGGGAAATTGGGCAACGAATTTTATCGCCCCTTCAAAGGAATAGGGTAAAACGTTGCAATCAAGGAAGAAGAATTTGTAACATATAATGGCATAATTACGCGATTTAGTCTACGCACTTACCTTAAATTAGTTGGTGGCGTGTCTGGAAACTGATGAAGTCTTCGTTGTTTGGCTTTTGGACTGGAGATGCGATCTAGACTCTAAAAAGACAACATACAAATCAAACTGAATCTCGAGCACCAATGGAAAAAATCGAAAAAAAACAAAAACAAAAACAAAACAAAAACGACCAAATCGACATACTTCGGTTAAAACAGAGTTTTTTTTGCCGAGACTGCTTGCAGCCCCCTTATCTTTTCCTCAAATTTGGAACCCCGTCCCCACAAATTCGGAAATGTTTGAAACTGTATATTGTTTTACCCGGATTCCTGTGGACTCTGTAGAGCGGCTTCAAAAACAGCCGGGTTCGCTCAGCGGATTCACTGGTTTTGTGTGGACGAAAGGGTGAATCTTGTAAAACAATATCTCACTTTGGAAAAGAGTGATAGCCTGGGACCCAAACTAAGCGCGCTGCAGTTATGGAATTGTTTGGGGGAACACGTCGAGCAGCCACCTTGTATTATGACGAGACGTGCCAGTTGTTGTGTGCCTTTGTGTACAAATAACTTCAGGAACTCCCTTGAAACATTCCACTTCGCTTTCCGCCATGTTTGTTTACATGTGCTCCCCCCCCCCCCGCAAATAATCCCATAAATGTACACGCGCCTAGTTTGGGTCCCAGGCTATCACTCTTCACCGAAGTGAGCTATATGCTGTTGAAACATATCTGGATTCGTGCGGACGAGGCCTTAGTAGAGTGGCACGCGTAACACACGCGTGGCGTGTATACTTTTTCTCGCACGCGGACTAAGAAATTAGAGCGGCTAATCGTAGTGTTTTTCATTACCTCCAATAGTCTTGTGGACAAATTGCTGGCGTCCAGACCCTCTTGCTGTTCAAAGAAACGGATATCCGTTAGATGACATTTTGTCGATCATTTCAAGCAGTGAAGGTCCCAACAAGATATTTAAATATGTAACACAACTTTAAAACGATGCCAATAATATGATGGCAGTTAGCCTGCGAGCAAGCTCTCCTATTTGGGCGAACGAAACAAGCCGCGCGAGAACGCGCGAGCGAGCGGCAGAGCCGCGAGGAGCCGAGGGAAGGAGAGCTTGCGACGATCTCTTATAAATTTTCTTTTGTCTCCCCAGCCACCCGCTTTCGCGTCTCCTCTCGTGTGCCTCTCGCGCGTCTACTTTTCACGATATCCCCAAATGGAGAGCTTGCTCGCCGGCTAGATGACAGTAAGATGGCAATTTTTTCTCACCCTGTAGTCCTCCGCCATTGATTTCGCTCCTTGTAATTCTCGACGAATACTGCCAACTCTTTCTTTATACCTAACAAAGAAACGAAAAGTGAGCTTTACCAGATGCATTTTACGTTCCACATCATGTTACAAAGACGGTCGTTACTCTGATTCGTTTGCAGGCGTTCCTTGTTGCCCTTAAAGTAACATGCGTATTGTTTTCAAAAGGATAGTCTGTACTTTTCCCAAAATGCCTTGCGTTCTGTTTTCCGCAATGTGTTGGGACCTGGAGATTAGGCAGGTTGTTGATAAAATTGCAGAGCAAGTGCGCAAGTGTGCCTTGACACAGAACGCTAAACTACGACAAACTTCACGTTGCTCGAACAAAAAAAATTATATTAAATTGTAGCACCGAATCGTCATTGCGTTTTACTAACTTATCGACTTAAATGCAGTGGGAACTATTTATACTATGTGTTACTATTGGCGAGAGATTTTACCGTATCACATTTAACGGACATCTGACATCGAATTGTAATTGCTATTATTGCTTCTATTGTCTCTGTTTATCTTGACTCCCTTTAACTTCACCAAAGCGCAGCAAAATACTAACCTGACATACTTGTCGTGAAGTTTGTCTCTTTCTCTCTGTTGCCCCTGAAACAAGCCACCAAAAAAAGGTTTTTGTACAGTTTATCACAAACGACAAGTTTATCCCTACAATATCAGTATGTACCTTTTGCAGGCACTGAAACCGTAGTGGCAAAGCAATTTGAAAACAAAGAAGCAATACAATTCGCCACTTGCACATGTCCCATAATGCACCTTATTTGCCCCCCAAAATTTTGCATAAGCATTGTTTTCAATCTGTCTTGGGACGGCTGTAATACCCAGGAGAAATAGAAAACAAAGGTTATGCAAAACTCTCGGGGGCAAATAAGGTGGATTATGGGAAATGTGCAAGTGGCGAGTGAAAGAATTGGTATATGAACTGCCGGAAGAAGAATTAAAAGTAAAAACGATCAACGCAGTTATGAACGCCACTTTTGCAGTTACCAAAGAAAGCCTGCAGAAATTCAGGCTTGCACGGGATATGAACGCTATGAATGACGTTGAGGTCACACGATTAACCAATAATGATAACAAGCAAAATTCTTCTGTCTACAACAACTAGACAACCATATCACGTGATAAGAATTTAAGAATTGAACATGAAGGCGCTGGGAAAATAAAAAAACAAAAGCAATATATCGCTATTTCTCTGACAATAAATCACTGAGGTTTTTAAATCTATTTAATGTCAGAGTTAATCTGTAACTTCCATATCATAGTAGTATCTTACCCGTAAACCTTCAAATTCTTCTAGAACCTTTTGTCGGTCGTCCAGAGCTTCAGCCGTGGCGTGTAAAGCTCGTGTACTCTACACAAACAAGCACAATCACGTAATTCAACACTATTTTCATATACAGTCGAACTTCCCGTAAGAGACATCCCAAAATGCAAAGATTTAGAGGTCATTAATTTTAAGAGAATAGAACAGGGGATCTCTTCCGAGGGGAGTTTCGACCGATGTAACTTTCGGTGGAAAATTTAAGTTACGAGAAAATATGTATTTCCACGTTGTCACTAAACATTTTTTGTATTCTCTGGGTGGTGTAGTACATACAGCAAACTTAGAGATCAGCTCACGTGTCAAGTCATGTCGTTTTCAAGAGGTTAACAACAGTAAAAATTGTAAAATCGTCATCCAAAACGGGGTCGTGATTGCTAACGAGGGATGGTCGTTTAGGGGACATTCCAACCATAAAATTGACGGGGAAAATTTTGGTGTTTGGATCGCTGGTCGCTTAAGGAGGTTCTGCTGTAGTAGAACGAAAAGGTTTGAATTTGTACGAGAAAAACGTTGGCCAATTTATAGATCACACTGGCATTTTTTTCGATTCTAAGGCCATCCTCTTTTTTTCTCCGTTTAGCGTTCTCCGACCGACCCAAATTTTTGGCATTTTAAAAAGAGAAAAAAAAGGAACGACGTAGTTGAACCATTTTTCACTTGAAATAATTCTTTTAATCTGAAAAATGAGCACAGTAACAGCATAGAGAAAAACAGGAAAATTTTTTTACAGTATTTGTGTATTTTGTTAATCCAAATACGTGAATCTTAACTTTTAACGTCGTCCTGGGTTACCGGGGCCTCCTATTCCGAAACTTCTTGTGACTTTTTTTTAGCTTCTTTTTTTCAATCCGACCGACCGACCCAATATCAGAAAACGAATTCGACGCTAAACGAAAAACAAAAGGGGATGGCCTAATACGTCTCAATGCAAAATAACGTATAAAATGCCGTACCTTAACAGCGTCAGAAAAAAATAATCAATTGTGCCATAAACTGCATTTGGTTTTAGTTCATCATTTACAATTGATCGTATCGTACACTGAGGAAAAGATTGTATTGGCATAGCACTTACCGTTTCGAGATGCGAGGTCAACTGAGTTATCCTATCCTGGTTAAACAAAGAAATAAACGCATGATAAATTCACGAAAAAGTGCTGATGGTGCTGATCTCTTGATAAAGGGGATAATGATAGTGGAATGAGTGGTGAAAGTGGTGGTAATAGCGATGGTAACAGTGATGGTAACGGTGTTAGTAAGGGTAGTGGTACAACAATGGGAATGATGGTAACACTCTAGACAAGTACATTTATCCTTTCTGGAGTTCGTGATAACAATAAAGATGATGGCGGTAGCGGTAATGGTATTGATAATAATGATGGTAGAGGCGATGGTATTGGTGATGATCATGGTGTTGGTGTTAGTAATGGAATGGTAATGATCATGGTGATGGATGGTGTTGGTTATAGTGACGATGATGGTATTGGCATTAGTGATAGTAATGGTGATAGTGATGGTGTTGGTAATGGCGATGGCAATATGGTAATGATGATGGTATTGGCATTGGTAATGATCATGGCGATGACAAATGATAATGGTGATGGTGTTGGTAATGGTGATGGTCATATGGTGACGATGATGGTATTGGCGTTGGTGATAGTGATGGTGTTGGTAATGGCGATTGCAATATGGTAATGATGATGGTATTGGCATTGATAATGATCATGGCGATGACAAATGATAATGGTGATGGTGTTGGTAATGGTGATGGCCATATGGTGACGATGATGGTATTGGCGTCGGTGATAGTGATGGTGTTGGTAATGGCGATGGCAATATGGTGATGATGATGGTATTGGCATTGGTAATGATCATGACGATGACAAATGATAAAGGTGATGGTGTTGGTAATGGTGACAGCATTATGGCGATGATGATGGTATTGATGACGTTGGTGGTGATAGTCACAATGATAGTAACAGCGGAGTTATGGTGATGGTACTATCGATGGTAATGAAAATGGTGATGGAAATGGTATTGGCGACGGTAATGGTGTTGACGAGAAAGGTATTGGCGATAACAGTGGTGATGGTGGTGAATATATCAATAATAAGCAAAGGTGATGCTCTGATTGTCTTTTTACTCGTACAGATTACACAGAGGAAACATGTCAAAACGCTTATGTGAATTGAAAAAGCCACTTTAAAAGCTATCTAAGGAGCCCTGTTTTCTTAATAAAAACGACCAAAAATAAAAGACAAAACCTGTAAACGCCCTGGGTTGGAGAGTAAACTTTAGAAATAAATAAGTTACCTGAAGAGCCTTGATGTTGTCCGTATTCTGTTTGTTCTTGGACTCTAAACCTGAATAAAATAACATAACCAATGTCAGAAAATTTTTCGAAAAAACAAACTTGAACAAAAATGGAAATATGAACCCTAGACAGCCTTCATCTTCTTTTTAGATGTATTGATTTATCATGGGTGTAGGTTTATTTCGCCTGTGAGTGTATTTAGGCGGTAAAAAACCCCTGAGCCCTCCCCCTGGGTCGGCCATTGGCCCATCTCATTCTAATGATAATCTGTGATTTTCAAGATTTTACGTGATTACCTTTCTTTTGTGCCGCTAGTTCATCGAGTAACATGCTCTGTTTATCCAGCTCAGATATAAAGTATTCCTTATCTTCATCCGCTTTCTGTACGACATCCTAACAACGCAAAAAAAAGAACAAAAATTTTAAAATGTCTTGCAAACCCACAAGAACGCGCGAAAATACTCTCATAAGAAAAATACGCTTCCATACGTTCCACGCTTGCCATGCGCCTCAGGGATCGCTCACTCGCCTAATGAACGACTACTTGAGGTCTACTGTGAAAAGCACCAACTTTAAAGGATCTTCTACAAACCCTGATTCTCTTGTGGCTCCATTCTGCTTGTTCTTTGAGTCTCCGTTCGGTTGCGAGGCGAGCCTTCAGCTCTTCAGAAAGCCAACGAAATTTGCCCTACAAAAAGAAAAAAACAACTTCACCATATTGACTTGTTTTCGAATCCCTCCTTGGCCAAAGTGATGCCAAAAACGACACCGATGTTATGCCATGTAATGTAATACATAGATTTAGCCAAGGCTAAAGGCGAAGCACCAGTTAATGAATTTATCATTTACTTCACACAATAAACTTATAACCATGAGTTGCCAAGAAATCCACTTGGAGTTTAGCCTGCGATCAGTTGAAAACTAGGAATTTGTCAGCGCAGAACTTCAAAAAAACACGTAACCTTGATGGGCCGGCACCTGAGTCCGCGATACGGTCATGTAATACTGGTCAGCGAATACCCTGTTTTGACAGCTGTCAATTAACCACAACATGGATGTGCAGAATCAGGTTGCAGGCGGATTGCAGGTTCCACAACAAGCTAGAAAGTGTGACATTTCACATTGGTTTCTCTGTGCTGCGGACGGACGGGCAGACGGGCGGTCGGGCAGACGTACGGTTACGTGACTTCCAAAATTTCTTGGATGGATAGATAAATAAATTTTTCTCAGCTTTCGGGTTCCGCTCGCCAAGGCGAATCGGATTCTTTACGGGCGAATTAACCGCTAATCATACTCACTATCATGTCGGCGATCCAGTGTTGGGAGTTGTTTCGTATGCTTCCATTAGCGAGCAAAGACTACAAATAACAATAAACAGTAATAAGTTGTTAATCTGCCAAGACAACAAAATGGGAAACATGAAAAGGTCTCTTTTTTTGACGAATTGGGACTAACGGTTTTGTAATGGACAGTAGAAAGACTGTCTCGCATCTTAAGCAACAAGTGAAAATTCGTGCCGTGTTTCTTTGCACGATACACTCGAAACTGTACAAGCTCTTGTAAAATTTACATTAGGTCTCTTCTTTTGGCTTCGAACAAGTAAGTGGACAATGGCGTCGGTACTTGCTTGGGATCCTTCGCCCTTGCAGAGGCACTTTTTTAATGACGAAAAACCGAAGCAAAATTTGTGTCAGAATCCCTGGGATGGGGATTGGAAATGAGAGGACACAGAGTGAAGTAACATTTATTTAGGTGATTTCGGTCGACGTGCTCACGAGAAGGGGTGTGTCGGAATCCCTTGGATGGGACATGAAAATAAGAGGGCATAGAGTGAGGTAACATTTATTTAGGTGATTTCGGTCGACACATTCACCAGAAGGGGTGTGTCGGAATCCCTGGGGTGGGGATTAAAAAGAAGAGGACATAGAGAGAGGTAACATTTACTTGGGCGATTTCGGTCGACGTAGTCACCAGAAGGGGTGTGTCAGAATCCCGGGGATGGGGAATGGAAATAAGAGGATATAGAGTGAGGTAACATTTATTTGGGCGATTTCGGTCGACGTACTCACCAGAACGGGTGTGTCAGAATCCCTGGGATGGGGAATGGAAATTAGAGGGCGTAGAGTAGGGTGTCATTTATTTGACTGATTTCGGTTGATATACTCACCGGAAGGGGTGTGTCAGAATCCCTACAGACCTGCTCAATTACTCGGTCTAGCTGATCATCAACCTTCTGTAGACTAGACTGCAAAAGATAAAGAAACCAGATAGGTTACACAAAAGTAATTCGAATCCCTCCGAACTGTGAATATGGGAAGATCGACGGCTTCTTTCGAAAATCCCTTCTTTTACTAGATAAGAAACGAAGCGAAATGAAATGCCACGAACTTTTGCGAAGTTCAATACTCATGCATCACTAGTTGCTGCCAAGGTCTTGGCTGTTTACGACTGGCTTCCACACAGAACTTTAATACGTGTAACCATTGTCAAAAATGACATTCCGTGGTAATTAGGGCATGTTGTGAAAAATCTTCCTTTCCAAAGTCAGTTGTAGACACATCTACATGGGTAGATGCACGTGTGTAATTCTTCAGTAGTCTATCTACTCGCTCTAAACGATAGGCTCCGATAGGACCGGCACTTTTGCGACTGCTAGGGACCATCTCTAGGTGTCCATTATAAGAAGAGTCCGTCTCCCAGTCTCCCAGACATGTCCGTTAAGAGAGAGAAAGAGAGGACTGTACTGTCCAAGCTTAAGTTAGCTCTCACATTCACATAATAAAAACGGCGACTGGGCCCCTTCTAAGGCGTTTTCACTCGCGTGGTTTTCGAGCAACATCAGATATGCATGCGCCAGTCGACCCAGACTACACGATTTGCGATTTTCCAGAGTTTCGTTTAGACTTTGCATGAAATGAAATTTCGTTCCAGAACGAGAATTTTATTTGGAATGAAAACCAGAATGTACGGGAACGAAATTGCCCGCCTGACTCTTCGGTCTAGTTAATGTCTCCACTGATGCAACCCTTACATCATACTAATTATCTGTCATTCCGTCATCTGCTGATCTAACAAAAACTGTTATAGATTTTCCTTTTTCCCTCGCACGATCCCTGAACAGAACTCGTCACCTTTGACATTACGCAGTACTACCTTAGTTCAGTTATTCAAATATGGACTGTCTCATTTGGACACCACTGAGATCTTAAATTCAAGTCATTATTGCGCTTAATGCCGCTAACCACCCCTGTATCGAATATCCCATATGAGAGATTATACACTTCCAATTTAGATTTAGATTTAGAATGCCGTTTCCCTATGATGTTAACAAATACAGAAAAATATGTGGAAATGGAATAAACTCGTTCCAGAATGATAGTCATTTCGGTATCATAAGAAGAGCCCTTTAATTTACTCTTGTACCCAATTTTCTCTCGTCCCCAAAACACATCAGTGACTATGTGACATGCATAGAATTAATTGTCATGTTTAAATTACCTGTTGTTCTTCGACAGCTTTTTCCAGTTCGTACTGATTACGCTTCAAGGCGTCTTCCAACTGGGAAATCCTGTAATGGTAACAACATAAACTCATACTCCTTACGTTGTTTTTATGAAGAGAAACATGTGAAATCTCATTAGAGAGCTTAAGCTTCACGTATACGGCAAACGGCAGATTCAAGTTGAGAATTTCTCAAAATAGAAAATGAGAAGATAAAAACAGCTCAAAACAATTTTTATGGATAAAAAATTGCTTGAAACAACCAATGTATGTGTAGAAAAAATGAACAGTCAACGACAAGTAAAGGGAAACTTGGTCACGTGGTACAAATTCGCGTTTGCTGTTTGACGTAAACGTGATGCTTAACCTCTCTATCAATCCACAAATACGTTCGCGGAAACAAAGATAGTGGAACATACCTTGCTTGATTTACTTCGATTTTTTCTTTCTATAAGATTTAACAAGATAAGGAGTTAACAAGGTACCACCACAGAAAAAATGGTGAGTGATGGTTGGTAATCTATATATTTCTTGGTAAGTGATGGCGGGCTCACGGCATAAGATTTGTTGTTAGGAAGGACATGGCTCTCCCTGTCCTAGGGTGCCTCGAGAAAGAGCCAACGAGTTGTTTTTTTTCTTTTAGAGAAAACGTGATGGGTGACCACTTGAACGAGCGGAAAATTGTCCCCTACGTCGAGTCTTGTCGCGAGCTTAATAAATGGCTGCTTGATTATCCACAACAAAGAAAAGATAAAGAAACTAAACTCGATTTTCGTCGCAAACTTGGTCCGGTACTCACCCAAATATCCCAGGGGTAAGTGAGGGCACATTGCCCTCACAGTGGCTGAAAATTTAGGGTACGAGAGGTTTAATGCTATGGCCAAGGCTCCATTGGATCAACTATCGCTGGAATTACCGACTAAAAAGTTACTTTTATCTGCATTGAAGTCAATTGCATGCCACATCTGACCATTTTCAACTTTCAAAAGTTCTAGAGGCTCGAACTTACTGCAACTGCTAGGAGGGACAACTTCTAACTCAAAACCTTAAGTTGAACTAATTCCACAATTTTTGTCTCAGACATCCTCCTCGTTTCTAGGTTTGTACACATTTCCTGTAACATAGGTAAATCTTTAGCTTACTTACCAAGTTTTCTATTTCCTCCTTCGCCTGTTCGTAGCGTGTTTTTAACTTATTGTTTTCTTCGTTTGCTCTACGCAGAAAAAAAGTCACTATCATTAACACATCCATTTTCAGGTTAGAAACAGTTTATTAAATTTAAAAATAAACATTATTAAAAACTAATAGGCCACAAAAGGACCATTTATACCAGAAAAAATATAACGCGTCCTAAATAAGACGCAATTTCTTCCATTTGTACGAGTAGAAAAAGTTCGCTTCCTTTTTGCGTCCTATTTCCATTCCTGGACCCGTTTTCAAGTGAATGTTGCCCGTAGCAACGGCAATCCATCATGGCGTGTGTTTCAAAGTTACGCCGTTGTGTTGCGATTTGTCGCAAGGGTAAGATCTTGAAGACCTTTTTCATGAGGATGGAGAATTCTTCGCTGATTACAAAAAAACGTCATTTGCCGTAGAATAGTTGAAAAAAAAATGCTCTTTTGGAAAAATTGAGGAGCCCGAGAAAGACGGAAAGAAGGCGAAAGGGTAGTTGACCTCTGAATTTGTTGCCAACTTTGGGCTCTCAAAAGCAGGGTTTTAAAAACAGTGTCAAGAAGTTTGTCCTCACATAATGAAGCACTTGACCAAATATTTCTTTTCCCCTTTGTTGGCTTGCTTTATAATAATGAAAGAGCGAAAAAACAAATAAAAAGTCTTATATAACACGCCGGGGAGACGAAACAGCGTTGTAATTTGTAAACAATTTTTTTCCCCGCCAGTCCGCAGCGGGGCACGCGAAAATTTTCCCGCTCAATTTTAAAATAACGCATGGAGAGAAGTATTGCGAGAAGGAGACTTGGATTCCACGTGATTAACTTACACATTCAGTTCAGTCTGCAGTTTCTCCATTTCTTCTCTGTCCTTTTCTTGACGTTTTCGCATGGCTTTTATCGTGGACTTTTCATCCGCAAGCTGAATCTGAGTATTTCAAGAACAAATTAATGTTTTGAATCAAACAATGTACTTAAATCGTCTTTGCTCGTCTACACGAAAACATAATGGTTACTAAAAATGGTAACAGCTTTGATGGGAGCATGCGCATTACTGGTATCTAAGCCCGTAACGTAATTTTTTTTACATACTTCCGTTTTCATCCATCCACACGAGTACAGCAAAACGGAGTTTTCTAAAATGTCCAGCGTTTTTGAAGATGCGTTTTCGGTAACCATTTTCAATGGATACATGTGAAAGGTAGGCTAAACCGGAAAAAAATCTCCGTTTTCAAACCAAAACTGATACCTGTGGACGGGGCCTAAGTCTTCTCTGCGCAGCCGTTATTTGGGTCGTTACCCAATTCTTCTCTCGCGGGAGAGCGTTGCGAGACGTCAGCCAACGTATCAACACACATGTTCTTCACACTCTTCGTAATGCATTTCTTACGCTACCAATAAAGGCTGATTGTTTTCTTTATTCTCACGGGATTTAAGGTTGATTAGCAGTAACAGAATGAGGAGAAATTACACGTCGATCACCATAAGTACCTTCATGTCTGCGATTTGCTCTTCTATTTCTCCTCTCTGTTTATTAGCCTTTTTAGCTGCGTCTTGAAGAGCTAGCTCGTGATTAGCCTAAGAAAGAACAGTTGAGTACAAATAAGTGAAAAGAAAAAACGAAGAATAGACCTTGTCACGGTTTTCGACGCCATCTTGACGAGTAAGCAAACGCGTGAGAAATTACAGTGATTGTATGAGAATCTAATGTCGAATAATTTCCGTAAAACGGCTGTTCTGAGAAAAATATGATTTGTAAACTAAAGTTTTACTCCTAAGGATTCTCTTGAAAAAATTTGAGGGCGTTACATGCTCTAGAAGACCTAGAACCACTTTTTAAAATTTTCTATACATTTGTCTGTAAGAAAGTCCCGGAAAAATTACAGACAAATATATGGAAAATCTAAAGAAAGCCTCTGGAGAAATTTAAGCACAGATACGCCCCAAATTTTTTTGGACAATCCTTTGCTTTGTAGCTGTAGTTAAAATTGATATTTTGTTCAGAACAGCCGTTTTACGGTAATTATTCGACATTAGATTCTCATACAAACACTGTAATTTCTCACGCGTTTGCCTACTCGTCAAGATGGCGTCGAAAACCGTGACAAGGTTTATAGTGTGTAGGCACACAACAGGCGATTGTTATCCAAGCATAACGTTTTCCCGTACTCAATTTAACCTCTGAGCGTGGGAAGAAAGTTGGTATGTAGCAAAAAGATTTGCTGTAATAAGACCAAGTACGACAGGGAGTGTTTCTTCTGGCCCCAGTTGTTCAAAAGGTGGATAACGCTATCCACAGGATAAATCACTATCCACTGGAAAGCGCAATTGGTTTTCTCTAATACTTTTCACTGGATAGTGATTTATCCGGTGGATAGTGATATTCAGCTTTTGAACATTTGGAGCCTGATGTCCAGTCATCGCATAGAAAAAAGAAAAAAAGGGGGGAGGGTGCAGCCGATTCTATCAAAAAGGTTTTCGAGGTGTCTGCATATCTGAAAAGAAAACTGAGTCGAGTGTTTGATATAGCTTCTCAAATTGTTAGTAATTTTTTGTAGAAATAGACCTTTTCCCGCATTACGCTCCAGTGAGCAAACATAAAGAAATGAGGTCGAGGCCCGGGTGGACAATTTCATACAAACCACTGTATTTTCTCCACCCAAGCCTCGACTTGACGCCTTTGTTTACAGGAATGCGGGAAAGGTCTATTTAGAGCTAGAATTTCCAAAATGGTAATAAGGATCTCATACCCTGAGTTATGGTAACATTCCCTTTGTTTTATTGATGACTAACAACGCGAATGTTAGGAGGAGAACCAAGATCCGAATGTCTCAACCCTAACCCGCTCACCATTTTGACATCTCTCGCCCCAACTAAGTATTTCAATGCTCAGCTCTTTACAAAGTAATATGGTGTTGAGTAGCAAAAAGGAACCAACCGTGAGGGCCTGGATCTGTTCCTCAAGCTCCCTCAAAGCATTCGTATGAGCGTCTCGTTCCTGTAACAGATGAATGTTCAACCGTTACTCTCTCTTTTTTAAGATATACGGGTTAGAAACAGGGCTGTCATTAAGAAGCGGGGGCCGGGGATTTCCCTCCGCTACTAAGAACGTGGCCCCCGGCTGCTTTCATAGTAAAACAGAAAAAAAAAGAACCTAAAGAAATCCCTAGCTGGTTTGATTCCCTGCCTACTTGTTGTATTTACCCGGCAACTTGAAATCTTAGTGACAGCCCCTCTATAAAGGAAACATCCAAGCACGCGCGGAAGAGGAAGCTACGCGAAATCTCGCTTGACTTGTCGCGTCTCTCGCACGCAGTCAGTTTTTTCGCGTTTCGAAGACGCAACATATAGTACAGTAACCCTCGCCTTAACAGAAGTGTAAGGCAAACACACATTTGTTTGACAAAAAAAAAAAAATGGGAAGAAAACTTTGAGACTTGGGGAGGCTCATACCCACCTTAAAACTGACTTAATAATGAGGAAGGTTTAATTGTAAAGCAAGCCAAGCAAATGTATTAAGAGAAATTGTAAAAGGAAACCATGGCGATGTCAACATACTTGTTGTAGTTGAGCATATAGTGAGGCTGCTTCCTCCTTTGTGGCTCTTTCCTGATGTCTCGCTTCCAAAATACGTTCCTCGTAATTCTGAAGATAAAAATGGAAACAATACGTCCAGATTTAGACATTCTACAAGCAACAAAAAATTAGTTTATTTGGTCGCACGAAAAAAAAAATATCGTTTGTCTGTTCAGTTAGTAGTGACCAGGCCGAGGTTGATGAAGGTTAAAAAAAACGTGAGCAACAGCGAGGGAAAACATGAGGCTTGTAACGTACTTTGACTTTTAAGTAACAGTTCTTTCGAAGAGTAGTTCACCGAGGACCGATGGTCTTGTTTCATGATAATAAATCAAGTTGATTTATTGTCTTCAAACAAGATTTGAAAAAAAAAATGATGAAAGGAGAGAATTTTATAAATTAAAGAGAGAACAAACTCGATAAGAAAAACATTTCGGTACAGTACGTTGGTGGTGACATAAGATTTGATGAGTTGTAGTCCGCTTTCATCGTTGTAATACTGTAGTTTATTCCCCAAGAATTTCTTGAGTTTACTCTGCAGAATCTCTTTATCTGACCTAAGTATATATTTCCTAGCCTTTAACAATATCACATGAAAATCAAGAAAACGAAGTTTTAATATTTTTGCTAAGTGGAGGATACAGTTTCACATTGTCTCTTAGGTCACTAGCTCCCACTGAGCTTGTCTCTCAAAGACTAGTCCCATTCCCCTGCACTCACCTGTCGATGCTCTGCTTCCTCTTGGAGTTTGGACACTAGTTTGGCCACTTTAGAGCGTAACTCTTTTATTTCTTTCATTTCCCTCTGTAATGAAAAACCGAATATGAGACAAGTCTCAGGTGAGAGGATCGAGGATTGACAAGACTGACTCGGTAAAGAACAATTAGTGGCTTGAGTGTGGGTTATAGAACGATATTCGTATGACCTTGAAATGAAAACGCGCGAACAAAACAAAAACAACAAACGAACGGAAATAAAGCGATTTGATTGGTTTATCGAACGGAAACAAACGCACCTGGCTTTTGGTTGGTTAAGCAAACGCTCGGCGGAAAAAAACTTCATGCCCGAAGAACTTTCTAGAAGTTGCTTTGACGTCATACTGCAACACGATTGGTCAATGGAACAATGCCTTCTCCATATTAGGGTTTTCTTTGGCGGGAAAACGAGGAGTCCATGTTTTGTTCTTTTCATCCATTGGCTGATAAAACAAATAACAAACGCTTTCGGAAACCATTTTTCAAGGTCAAACGAAAATCGCTCTAACGAGAATTCATTAATAAATGACTCGCTGTACAGTTGACGCTCTCCACAACGTCGACGTTGGAGACAGGAGAAAGAGGCCACTGTAGAGGGGTTGAAACAAGAGTCAATGTATGGACTGTCCGCCAAAAAAAGTGGCCGTTAGTGGAGGTTCGACTGTATTTGTGAAAGCAGAGATACTTTATAATTAAAAGAACCAACTAGGCATAAATTAATAACATTAATATGTTATGATTGTTATGAATAGTGGCACTCAAAGGCAGCGTAACTGAGTGATCGGTCTATTCATGTCTCTCTTTTTAACGCTACTTTTGACTTAATTAGCAACCCAATGCGATGAAACTGAAATAGATATTAGAGACCTATAGCTTCTAGGACGAGTACGACAACGAGTTCGAGAGTCAGCGTCATTTTGGCGGGGAAACTTGGTAGCCGTCGTCTCTCTACTACGAGTCTTAGCGAGAAAACTGAAGTGTTGGAAACAAGTTATTAAATGTAAGAAGTTTATCATTTTGCGATCGGGAGAGGACGTAACTTCCTTCACTAAAGATAACAGTGCTAGCTTTTCTAGTCAAAAAATGGTAAAATAAAGCTTTCTGGGGAGTCTATATGTTGAGAATACGCGCATCTAAAGGTCTCTATTAAGTACATGAAAATATCATGCAAGCTATTGACAGGCTTAGGGAAGTCACAAGACATGAGCGAGTACACTGAACACTGACACTGATCAAAGCCACACCCTTAATTATCTGCATCTCGCGAGCAAATTAAACAGGTGTTATGTACAATTTGAACCAACAAGTTGCTATAATTATATACTCTTTGTAAAAGGTAACAACGTTTTAAACATCAAGCGCTGCTAAAAGTATACTGGAGGAGGAAAGGAGTTGGGGAACGTGGCAGAAGAGATCGTGTAGCCTCGAAAAAAAAACACACACAACCAACCAAACAAACAGACAAACACTTGTACCAACCACTGGTTCATGTACTTGAAGCCCCTGTTCAGCTTCTCGTTCCAGTCTCTTGCATTTTGTACGATATCTAGGAATATAGAAAACATTACGAGTAACAGTTACACCATAGTCAATAAAGCTCAATGGTTTTGAAGCCCGTACAGACTTCTTTGTAATATGTTTTTGCAGGCGTTTTTAGATTTGACCGATCACAACCTTCAATAGCATTCCTATTACCTTGAATTTACTGAGCAATAAAAATGAGTTTAGGGGTGGAGGTACCAGATTCCAAGAGATTTCGGATCCTTATACGTTTCTGGGAAACTGCCAACCTACCCCTCCCCTAAGTCAACATTTTGCCCTACGTGAGATTTAAGTGTTAATGCTGGCTTAGGGAGGGGTAGGTGGGAAGTTTCCCTTTCACTGGGAACTCCATCTGAATCACTGCTTTCAAAGCTAATAGAACCCTTATTGAAAGTCACGGGTTTCTATAAAAATTGAAGTAGCCAGCAGGTTTGAATGGAGTAACCAACTGTAAGAAACCTGTAAAAAATTGACTGAAATATAGCGTTCACATAACTAAAGCATAACATAAAAGCAGTGGGCCTTTATGAAAACACATCATATTTACGTTTTCATTCAGACCTGATGATATATTTTTCTGTTTCGGACATCAATCAAACTAGTTTTTCTTCTTTCTAGAAAAAAGTAGCCGCCTTCCCTGAGCAAAGTAGACAACGCGTTGCGTCGGACGTGACGTCGGCGCTTATTAGGGAGCTTAAGCACCCATGACGAGAGCTCTGCACGCGCACCACGTCCTTAAGAATTCAACTCCAGGAAAAATCGCCTACACTTAAAATATAGAGCGCGTCCAAATAAAAGCGATAAAATTTGAAAGGACGCAAATTCTGTTTTTGGAGCGACTTTTTCCCTTACGTTGTCAACGTCGTTGCTTAAATTTGCTCCCTACCGAAACCCCTGAAAGTACAATCCGATTCTGCCGCGCATACTATTTAGAAATAGACTAATCTTGCTGGCTGTTTAACGTTGGAATTCTCATTGGGACTGGACTGGTCTGGCCGGTCAGTTCTGACAAATGGTAAGCGGCCTAAGTCTAGGTTTAAAATGACCCGCCCAAACTTGTAGGGATGCCACAGACCATTAGACCATTAGTACAAATTAGAGTCTGTCAAAACCACAAGGAACCTACTCTTTAATGGACTGAACAGCTTTGTTCCTCAGCTCAGCTCTTTTCTTGTCGCTCTCTCTCAGTTGATTCTCTTTGTCTTCTAGCTGTCCTTCAAGTTCTTGCACATCTTTCGTAGCCTCCTTGAGTTTCTTGGTAACAGTCTCCAGCTCGGTCGCGAATCGTTTCTTTTGTTCCTCGCTCTCTTCATACTTGGACAGTAAATCTCTCATCTGGCTGAGTAACCGCTCCTGCTGCTCGTCCTTTCGATCCATGTCTTGGTGCAACGCTTCCAAACTGTTTAATAGTTCAATTCTACAAAGTAAAGCAATTCTGTATCAGTGCTAGCCTCCCCGCAGACGTCCTTTGGGGTTCGTTTGTCACGCATTCATGAATGCGTGACAAACCCTCTTTTGTGATGTAATGAACCCTCTTTTGTGATGTAATGAAATCTGAACTTTTGTTTCTGTGGAGGAAATCGTATGGTGTAGCTATTCAAACGAAACCTCTTTCAGCAGTATGTTCAAATAGTACTATCTATTCAGTATACAGTCCTAACTTTTTAAGTCTGTGGATGAAATGCTATGGTGTAGCCAATCACATGAAAGCTCTTTAGCAGTACCATCACGTGGACTAACAAACTAGCGAAGCTCTTTCGGGTGCAGCCTCGCAGCTTAATATGCGATTTCCGAGTTGGCCCAACCCCCTGTTTCTAAGCGAGGTTAAGTGCCAACCTACTGATATAAATATGATTTTTCCATTTTCATTCTGATAAAACTCGGTTTCGCACCTAGTCTCGTTTTGAAAGTGAGAGTTTTTGAAACTAGGAAATGGCCTATAGTTAATTGATAATACAGGCGAACTTACACAGGACACATGGGTCATGAACAGGGCGCCAGAGTAAAGGTTATTTGAGATTAATTGCATGTAACTATTCTATCGTCATTGTTGACTACTAAACAAATGTTGTGGCTTAATTGTTGTTAACACTCCCTTCTTTCTGAAACGCCTTAAGCTCATAGCTCGGAGAAAGTATGTGGTTGGGTCACCGTGTTTTGACAGACAGTTTATTTTTACTATAATTTGGCGCAAATTTAGAATATCGTTTAAGTCCCACAAACCAGTCAGCCAAGCCTAAGGGTAGTCTTTGACGCTTTAACGACATAAATTTTCTCTTTCACATCACTGAGGACGTTTACGCTACTATGCACATGCGTGCCTAGAAAAATATCGAAATTTAAAAAAACCAAAACCAAAATAGAAAAACAAAGCAAAAGAATAAACAGAAGACAAAAAAAAGCGATTGCTGAAGGAAATATCTTCGCCTACGTCACTCTGCTTTGACTGCTGCCAAATAAAAAAAGTGCTGATTTTGCAAGAAGCAAAGGCAATAACTGTTGCCTACAGAACACGATCCTACACAAAAGAAAGAGCTACCTCATTGTAATTATTCACAAACGCAAATTTAATCGATTCAGTGCGTACCTCTAGAAAATTCTTAGCTTTGCCCTCCTATCACACTACTAATGAGCACATAGAAAGAGCCGAGCTTCCATTTTCACGAGAAAAAGTGCTTTCTAAAAATAAACCCTTCATGAAAATGCCGTAACATAGGTCTAGTATGGGAGTAGCTCTCTTCCGGTTATGGGCTCCTAGCTATTTGCCTGATAACAATAACTTACCTGTCCCCACCGCCACCATCCCCTCCCCTGAAGTTTCTGCCGGGCAGTCCATCGTAAAATGACTCGCCCATGTGCCTACGATCCAGATCCTGTTCCATCTCAAATCGGTCCAGGTTCCTTCTCATTTCAGACGCGAAGTCGCCTCCAGGCCCCTCAGTTCGCCCCAGGCTTCTCCTGAACTGAGACGAAACGGTTGGACCGAATGATTGACGTCTTTGAGCGGCGTTCCGAGTTAGTCTTGTTACCTGCTGCATTATCTCATCTTTTTCTCGCTCAGATTTTGCAACCTGAAAATAAGGTAAGGTTTCCAGTTGTTAACTACAATAGCCTCTCACCTATCCCCAAGGTTTTCAAGTTGTTAACTATAGTGAACCTCACACCTGTCCCTTAAGGTTTTCAAGTTGTTAATTACAATGAACCTCTCACTTGTCCCCAAAGCTTTTCAAGTCGTTAACTTCAATGAACCTCTGACCTATCCCTTAAGGTTTTCAAGTTGTTAACTACAATGAAGCTCTCACCTATTCTCATTCGCGTAAACGCCGCAAGACGATTTTATCAACTAGATAACTTCGCGCTCCCTTGTAAGGCACTCTATTGGCCCTATACGGACCCCAGGGAAATTCTCTAGGCCTTTTATACGCCTTTGCAAACAAATCGCTCTCTTCTCGCAAGTCTACTAAACAACGGGCAAGCAAGTTTCCCAACCCTCCTCCGCTTCAGCGGCGCTGACAAATTTCCTCTATCAGCTCACTGACCCTACACCTTGTGCAAAATTATTTCACCCATAACTTGTCCATCAAGAGGCAAGGGGGTGCCTTTTATGCGAATGTGAATTAGTTACTATCCCCAAGGTTTTCAAGTTTTTAACCACAATTCGCCACTTTCAAGCATCCCAGCCACTTTTTGGAAAATCTGATAGGAAAAATAGGCTGTTCAAGTTCGAAATATAGGAAAATATAGGAATTTTCTGCCAAAATATAGGCTCTTTATAGAAAAAAAATTAGAATTAAAAAAAATATATGTTTACAGATAAAGAATTTTGATTTTGTCAATTCACAACAAAATTGCTTCACGGTGCAAAATGCAGATATCCTATTTATAGGAAATATACGAGGATTTCTTGAGATATAGGCTCTTCATAGAATCCTAACAAAATATAGGTTAAATAAGAAATATAGGAGGTCTGGGATGCCTACACTTTAGAAATGAGAAGGAATGGGTCGAGTTAGCTTTCGCAAAGACTTCTGTGATCGTTACTAGGGACGCACCGGTCAGCTATTGGCCAATTTATTTTCTGTGTCCCCAGAAGTCTTTGCGAAAGTTATATCGGCCCGGTTTCCTTCTCGTTACTAAAGTGGCAAATAATCCTCTCACCTGTCCCCTAAGGTTTTCAAGTTGTTCCACTAGCCGCTCACGATCCCCTTGTCCTTCTTCCATCTGTCGGCTCAGACTCTCAAATCGTCCCTGAAGTCGTTTCCGAGCTGCTTCATTTTCTTCTAATTTACTTTGAGCTTCTTCCAATTTTTTAGTCAGCTCATTTTTTTCGTTTTCGGCGCGTGAAAACTGTTGACGTAATTGTTCTGCCTTAAGAGTAGATTAAAAATGTTAAGTAAGTGTCCGGCCATAACATATAGCCTGCGAGCAAGCTCTCCGAGGCGCTCTCCCAGACCCTCGTACCCCTGGGAACTCGGGGAGAGTTTGCTTGCGGGCTAACAATATACGTGAGCGGTAGGACCCCAGGTTAACGGGCCTTCAATTTACTTTGAAGTTGATGCTTTTGGAAAACGATTGAGCTTAAGTGCAGGAGACCCTGCCACTTTGAAGCGAACCCTAAAGAAAGGAGGATACGCGGACACCTGGATATCGTATTTACTTGATCAAAGGCCGTAGATGGAAATAAAGTTACCATTATTAATACACTGCCCTCGAATAAACGCCGCACCCAATCAAATGGAAAAAGAAAAAGAACTCGGTACAACTCAGTAAACTACATCATCCGGATAATTACTATTCGACCTCAGCAAAAAAAAAGCGAAATAATCAAAATTTAAACACCTTTCTGTTTTACATGATGTTCACAAATGAATTATCGTACATTTTGTTGTCAGTGATTTAAGAAAAGTGACTTTGAAATAAACGCCGCATTGGAAACACTAAAAATTTAATAAACGCTGCGGCGTTCAATCGAATAAATTCGGTGTGCAGTCACTCCTCCTATCTGCGTTTCCACGTATCCGAGTCAGTTCTTTCAAAGATACAGCTTGAAAGCAAAGTATTAAATTCTACAGTTATTTCAATGACTGTCTTATCAAAAGGAAAACATTCTACAGAACAAAATCTTGCTGTAATTGCTTTGGCATTCATATAGGTATCGGTGTGAGTAAGTGCCACTATGCTTGTTTTACTCCATGATAGTTTTTCTTAAAAAATAAACGGTAATAAAAAATAACAGCAAGCAAAAAGATCCATAGAATTACCAGTTTTTAGGGAAGCACCAGAAGTAATATATATATATTTGGAGTTGCACCTCCGTAATACAGGATTAATTGCAAGACATATACAGTAATTTTTACAATGCCAAACTACCAAATGAGCATGAAAGACCAGAGAAATGGCTTCGGTTGACTTCAACCTAACTTGCAGGGTGGGGTTATATATATGCTGGCAGTACCCTAGGTGCCCAATTTTTTTTTTCTCTTTCAGTTTTTTGCTCTTTACGCTGTCACTGCTGATGAGCGAGAAAACCTCTACTGTACCTCTAAGTACCTAGCATCTAAGTTAATGCTGGCCGTAAAGATGGTGAGTGACCTCTAATGACCTAAATATGAGCAGACGGTTTATAGATAGGTTGACATGGGTGCAACTGGTCACACATGACAACTATTTCACACCCAGTGAAACAGAGTCAAAATATTCATTGTTACATTGCAGCAGTTTAACCATGATTACCTGGTCCACAAGAGCATTTTTTCCACCTTCACTTTGGTCCAGCCTCTTTGTTGCGGCATCTAATTCAGCCATGACCTAGGAGTTTCACAAAGACGCAAATTCGCATAACAGTGCATGGATTACGAACTACTCTTTTTTAAACTTTAAACGTACAGTGAAACCCAGTCGACGCAATCAAAGGGCCACGAACATTTATTGCATAGCGTGACACGTCATATTAAGCATTCACTATTTAATGACAACCATAATTTCATACTCAATATCAGTCTGCCGAAACTCACACACAAAACGAAGACTTCAACGCTCAACACAGCACATTAATCCGTTTACAATATAAAAAAGTACTACTTTTAGTCACAAATCCTTGCTTGCCGATCGATCTCATCAGGCGTAAGATTTTCAACCTCAGTTAAGGTAATCTGCACAGAACAGGGGCCCGAACTAACGTACCACCCTTATGACGGGAAAGGCTGGCAGCGAGTGCTGCGAAGGTCCCGAGTTGAGCCCCTGCCCTAACCTCCGACTGTACTTTCCCAGCGCGGCCTTGTTTGAACAATTTTCCCAGTGCCAATGGGCACAATACTGGAGAGCTTTAGATTCTAAGACGAGTACGACTACGAGTACGAGATTTTCTCAATACTAAGTAAAGCACGCGCGTAAGCCAGCGTCATTTTGGCGGGAAAACGTGGTAGCCGTCGTCATTCTACTACGAGTTTTCGCGCGAATGTCGCAGTGGCGAAACAAGATATCAAATGTTAGAAGTTCTATCTTTTTGCGATCGGGAGAGCGCGTAACCTCCTTCACTAAAGATAACAATGCTAACTTTTCTAGTGAAAAATGGTGCAATGCACCTTTCTGGGAAGTCTATATTTTGAGAAGACGCAAAAAAACGTCAAGTTAAATCTCGTACTCCTAGTCGTCCTAAAGGTCTCTATTATAACAGACGTCCACTGAATAGGTACGTAAAATGACATTGTTTCCAGTTTAGTCGTTAATCACGTGACCTACCTCCCTGCGTTCTCTTTCAGATAGTTCCAGTCTCCCTGACAAATCCTCTACGCGTGAAGCAAGTAATCTCTTTTCTCGTTCACTTTCCTCAAGCGCTCGCCGTTCAGAATCTAGCTCACTGGAAAAAAAAAGAAGAAAGAAACGACTTCCATTTATTACAATCCCGCATACATAACAACGTATTGAAGCCGCTGTAACGAAGCTCTTCTAAGCCTCTAATTTCATTTGCGCTTCTTCCGTGTGTTGTTTCAGGGTCATGTTTCGCATTGACAGTCACTCAATCCTGTACGCTGTTTCGAGCCTATAGTATAAGCCCGACGCAGAAAAAATCTACAAAGTTAAAAATAAATCCTACATATATGATAGTCCTGTATATGACACCCTCGCTTATATTGACGGGTTTCACATCCATGCGAGGAACGTACGAATCTGTGTGCGCGATGACGTAAGGATCTAGGAGCTCGCTAGCCCTTCTGGGAGATCAAAAAAACGTGTTGTGTTCTTGTACCCATCTTGATGATCTGTGAACCTTTAGTGAATCTGTGGAATCTTGTGCAATCTTTGAGAAGTTGGACCTTTTGGAGTGATGTATCCTTTAGGAATCGAGCCTGATAATCCTTGGAATAAAATACAGTTCAAATTCGTCTACAATCTGCATTTCGGCCAGCATACACGCAAACATGGCGAAGAACAGATGAGGTGTCAAACAAGCGTAACATGCAAGCGAAGCATAGAACTTAAAGGCTAAGGTTGTCACATTCAATATGCAAAGTTGAAAAATTACCAATGCGTGGTTAGTTTACTAAACTCTCAGGGTCGGTTATTTAAACGGAGTCTAGCATAGACCGCGGTTTAGGAAATCTTTGGACCTCCAGATCTCTTCCTTAGTGGGTTATTTTAAGAAGATAAATGCTTTCTAGTCTACTCTATATGCTTCAATGAAACTGTTCACGATAGATGTTGTTCACATAAAAGCGTTCGGCAAACTGAAAATAGCTTACAACGCGGTTTTGTTAAACACTGGCTAAACTCCGTTTAAAAACTGGCCCTAAAGCTTTGAAAGCTCAAAACTGCAGAATTGCCCCAGCCAAAATAAGTTTGCTAGGGTACAAAGTATTTTCAACAACAAGAAACTCATTAATTTGAAAAAATCTTACATACTTTAGACATCCTAGCCCATATTTTCATTCAATGGTAAATGAAAGCTTCTAAATGAAGCAAAAAATCAGACTTTCGCTGAAGTATTTTTGTTCTAAAAATGGAAGGAAAGCGTACCTGGCAACAGAGCGGATTTCTTCCCGTAGTTTAGTTTCATTTGCTTCACCTATTAAATTCTAAAAAGATAAACAATCACTTTAATTTTCAAAGTAACAACTATAGCTTGGAGGAATGACGCTTTTTGGATTGCGTTATAGAAGAGGTTAGAAAAGTTTTTAAATCTATTCATAATAACATGTAGCGCAAAGTAGCCTGACTGTTATTTGCAGGATTAGTCTAAATAACTTTGGTTAACATCGGAGTTAGCAAGTAGTTATATTTCAGATTGTCAGTGATTAATAAAATTATGAGCAAGAAAGCTCCGCGATGTTAAAATGGGTGTTAATTTAAAGTTAGGTTGTATTAATTCATACTGAGGGTGAACTTTTTAATCAAGATTACCATGTTTAGATTAATGGTTATCATGGTTAACTCGCCCATAAAATGCAAACTCGCACAGAAGAAAGTTTTTCATTCTTCCCTCGGTGGGCATGCTTGAGGGCAAATTTATCACAAACCGAACAAAAGATTAGTTTTGAACACTTAAATGACTCAACAAGCACGTTATTGCAGAAGAAAGTAATGTTTTAGTACGTATGAAGAACGTTCTAGTTACCCGGACATTTTGTAACTCGGTGGCGAGTTGACCGACTTCTCTCTGTTTCTTCTCCCACGACTCTCGCTCCGCTCTCATCTGATAATCGCACACAATAAATATAGTTCCATAGTCACAATGCCAGGGGTTACCAGTCGTTTTGCTACAAAGTCATTTCGCTACCTGTTGTCAGTCGATTCGCTACTGTTTTAAGTATGAGATGATACTTCACCTCTTTATACACAAACACTGCGGCTAAATTTTTATACCGAACGAGCAATAACCACAGATTTCATAGTTTAAATTAGCGAAATGTCTTTATTACTTCCTTTTCGCGCTCGCCTTTGTTCGTAACACGAAGCGCATACATGAAAAGGAGGCAAACTTTGTAGCGAAACAACTGAACGTCATGTAGGGTTAGCAGTATACGATTAACCAGAGCAAGTGATAAGATGGAGAGGAAAATGGATTGATGAACAATGAAAAATTGTGAATGGATAGTGAAAAATGATGCATGCGTACAGAGTACTAGTTTTAAAATTTAAGTTAAATCGTCAAGATACGGTACACTTTCTTTATTATCAGGTATTAAAATAATGTGTCTTCAGATCAGGCAATCACTTCCTTAATTCTCATAAACTTACTGCTTAAATTTTGCATTGTTCATACAAAGAGAATTAATGTTTAGATGTCGATTACAACTAAGACTTTAAGGGTAATAATCACCTAACAATATTCAGTAAAGTAACGTTATGCAATGTGATGTAATTAACAAATAAAGAAGCCTTGACTGCGCACTGTTCTGTAGTAAAGCACGCAGGAAGAGGCTAGCGCACGAAAGAGGTGTAGGGGGAGGCACGTCAAGTAGTCGAGTGTTTCCCTCTACCTTTTGAGTGCTGTAGCCGCTTCCTAAGTCCCTTACAACAGAACAGAGCACAGTCAAAGCTTAGCTTCTTCATTTGTTTTATGATAAAGAATCTGTTAAATTCCCCACGCACTACTTTCTAATTTTCAAAACAAACCATTTGCAGATGGCGCGACCGCTTTAGTTCCGTGTTTTATACTCTCATAAAGCACGCTTTTTCAACCAATCAGAGTGCGCGTTATATCTGAACTTTAAAATGTAATGTAATTTCAAGTAACTGTAAGTAACTATGTATAGAGTGTGATAGCTGCTTTCCGGTCGCTGACCTTTTCGCCAGCGATCTGATCAATAGTAGCAATCATGGTTTAATCAGAACAGAAGTTTATTTCAGCGATCCTTGCCTTTTTAACTTTCTTTTCTAGTTTGCCTTTAAGCAATCGCAGCCATCGTATTTGTGTGGAAACCAGCTTTAACTCGAAAAAGACTTAGCCTGCAGAACAGACGTTATTTTTTCGCGTTTTTTAGGCGAGCAAAGGCAAACGCGAAGCGAGCGAGGAGCGTCAGACAAGCGCGATGGTGTCTGCTACTCCTTGTTCGCTTCGCGCTTGCCTTTGCTCGCATGAAAAACGCGAAAAAAAATAGTGCCTGTTCTGCAGGCTAACAAAGACTAGATAAAACTCAATTTAGGATTCACTGCTGACAGAAAATATGAACCAATTTTTTGCCACTTGACTGTTTATTGTCCAATTCACTCCTTGTTTAAATTTTGAACGTTAAAGAAAGCGAAGAAGCCGAGTGCCTCGCTTCATTGACTCTTTGAAAATCTACATATTGATATTACGGGTGGCGGGAACGCCTCTTGCTGGAAGGGGAAATGCGATATTCGTCAGTAACACTAAGCATAGCACTTAACTTTGAGATGCCACTCTAGACATTTCCTTGGCTTGGAAAAACAAAATTTCACAGAATAGATATTGGTTGTTCATGTTTACCTCTTGTTGTATTTCTTTAAGTCTGTTTTCGATTTCATCTTGTTGGGTTTTTTGATTGGCCTGCAACTGTAAAAACATGAGGAGGTCACCAGACCTCATTCCCAAGGAGCCCAACCCATCAACAAGCCCCTGGAAATGACGGGTACCACAGGTAACCCAGTCTCTGTGTTATTACCACAATACGGTTCCAGTAAAATTACAGTTTTTGTATGGGGTAAAAATAAGTTCCTAAAAGTTGTAGGGAAGACTAAATAATGGTCAGTGCAACTTAATATGCAGTAAGTTGTTATTGTTCTTAATGCTCACAAGAATTTTCGTCATAATTTGCTCAAATTCACCCTCCATACAATATCATAATACATAAGGTAGGAGGCACGAGATGGCATCTCGGCCGTCATGCTCCCTTTCCAACACAACTTTTTTCCGCGTAATCCTACAAATTTTAGGACCTTATTTTTACCCCATGCAAACACTGTAATTATACAGTAACCGTCCTGTGGTACTATCACAGAGCCTGGGTTACCTGTGGGGTACTAACCAATTTATGTTTAAAATAGAGTGGACGACATGAATTATTATATTTGTGAAACTATGGGATTTGTCGGGTGTTGTAAAAGAATAGCATCCGAAAGGCCTACTTGCCAAAAACTAGCATTACAGGGCAAATTGTCTCCAAGATATCAGTCAAGTTATGCTCTAATGACTCCACACAAATCCCACTAAATTTGACTCGGTTCTCAAAGTTATGAATCAGGGCAAATTTAGAAGGATTTGTATGGAGTCATCAATGTGAATTACAAGTATCTGACAGGGTGCAAAGAAAATCATTTTTACAGCTTGCCATTAGGGCAAGCTGAAGCTAACATTTACTAGCCCAAACATCATTTCAACTAGCCCCAAAAACGTTTTGATGAGCAGATTGATTTCACAGTTCTTCTGTAATTTGAATTCCTCAAAAAACTTCACTTGCCCATCGGGAAAGTTAATAACAGAATTCACTAGCCGATAGCAAAATCCACTGGCTCCGGGATATCGGACACTACTTTCTTTGCACGCTGATCTGAGCTCTTAAATGTTTTCAAAAAATGCATTCCTTAACCAACTATTATTAAGTAGATGATGAACGAAATGTAATTTACTCCTACCCTTGGCTTCTAAGACTGTACTTTTTATTTTGCCAAAACCATTGAGAGGTAAACCTTACCTGCTGCCTTAATGACTCAAGTTCCCGATCTCTTTCTGAAGCTAATCTTTGACTTTCACGTAGAACATCACGCTCTGCATCCAGCCCCTGCAAGGTTATAGTCTGTGTGATGTTTCGCTCCAATAGTAATGTCCTAATTAACATACATCCAGGTCATGGGAAGGGAAGTGGGAATGGAGCAATTGGCTTGAATTACGGTTGTTTCGCCACAAAGACGTTCTGCTGCATAATGAAGTCGTTTCGCAGCATCATAAAGTTGATTCGCTGCAACCAACTTGTTGTATTAAACAGCTTAAAACAGTTTAGAATGAACTACATAAACGGGTAATAACAAGTTAAGTTAGCAAAACGACTTTACAACTTTGCAGCGAAACGACTTGTAGAGAAACGACCATACTCCATTGGCTTCATGCTGATGCTGTGTAGGCCGAGTCTGTTAACATTCTGAAGACGCTTGATACTTACAGTATTTCAACCGTCTCGCGAGACGAGACTCTCATCTCGAGAAACGAGACTTTTCCCCCCCAAGACGGGATTGCAGTGGTGGTCGAATGGCGGATCCAGGAGTTCCGGACCTCCCCCCTCCCTGTCCCCTATCAGACCTGACCCTTGTTTGAGACAACCTCATTCCCAGGGTTTTCTCATACCCATAGGGCAGGTAGGAGAGAACCGTGGGAACAAGGTTGTGTTTGAGACTGAAATTCATACATCAACAGGATCGTATAACACTTTTTAACTGGCAGATTTTTTAATGAAACGCGTGTTACATTTGCCACTAAATTCCCAGGATATTAAAAAATGTAATTGTTTTTGGGTACCCTACTATGATCTGTTCGCCTCTGATCGCAAAGCAGTACACGGTAAGGGGCCAAGGAATTATAATGTGCAACCGCGACTGGTGGGATGGGGTGTGGGGGGTGTGAGGGAGAAGCAATTTGCCACCAAAAAGTACAACAGTCCTATCTGAACCAAAGTTTGGACCCCCCCCCCCACCCCACCCCCAATTAAAAATTCCTGGATCCGCCCCAGGATTATCATCTCTGGAGACGAGACTATCGTCTCTCAAGCGGTACTGTACGTTCCTACAAAGTTTAAGCAAATTTATGACTTAACAAATGCAGAGCAGCTACTCAGACTGGTAAATTACTTACACCAAAGGTGAAACATGATATGAGAAATAAAGTTTATCCTTTTTGGAAATTCTCAAGGCACAAAACACAATGCCATAAAATTTCACAGCTCTGTACGAGAAAAATCCATGTGAAATGCACAAGGGCATGGAAATTATACATGTGCGTACAACTTCTGGTCATTTGCTTGTAGAATGACATGCAAGCATTTTCTGATACCTTTTGTGGTTAACACCTCAAATTATTTTATTTTGCACCCTTGAATTCAAGGACATTTCAGGGACCTCCTGAGTAATTCCAGGACCAGGAGCCTATCACCCCTGCCAGGACATTTTAAGACCGACCGAACCCATTTATCATTTACCATTGTACGCACTTATATTCCCAAGACAAACCTTTCTTTCTCCACTATCATGCCTAGAGCAGCAGCAGCCTCGAAATTTTAACCAAACTAACCTTCACAAGAACTTCAGCCTGGCGTCTGCTAGCTTCCTCTGTTTCACGAAGCTCATTAAGAAGTCTTTCTCTAGTGAAAGAAGAATCAAAAGGAATACTTATAAACACAGCATAATTTAAAGAATAATGCAAAAAATACCAGGTTATAATATTATTAATAATAATCCTTTTTGGCCTCATTCTGCAAATGCAGCTCATGTATTAAAGTTTAATAAAAGTTCAAGTACCTCTCTTCTAAACCAGCTCTGACACTAACCCCTGTAAATAAGACAAAATTGTATTTAAGTAGGTGCTTAAGACACCAGATCATTTCTTTACTTGACTGCCTCTGCCTCTGTTTTATAGCTAAACAAGCATACAAATGTCTGATTATACGTGTAAGTTTAGGTACAGTGTATTTAAACAATACTGGAACCAAAGGGAGAATAAGAGAGTTCTCAGTCCCCTTTTCATAAGCTAAGCAACATGTTTTATCAGTAATCTGTCAAAGAGACTTCAGAACAAAAGGTGACCTTAATCAGAAAGACAATTTTTTATCATAAGCACCTTCCAAATGGATAACAATCAATCTTAGTAGGTGTTTTAATTTGAAAAAATTGTGCAGGAGTTAACTATGAGACAAGTATAGCATTCAGTTCATAGTTAGTGACTAAAAAAGAAGTGAACGTTAACATTTTACGCACCTGGGAGTCCAATTGGAGCTCCCTGGTCATGTCTGGGTACACCCCAAGTATCACCATCAAGTCTGTTCAGCAAAAAAAAAATTCAACATTAAAATATGCTACAGAAAAGGAAAATCATCTAAAAAACACGTTAATTTTATCTAGTTGTTCAACGCTGGGTCCTAGCCATCCCCGCAACTCCCTCCTCCAGTTTGAAAACAAGAATCTATTATTGCCCTAATTACTAGAAAAATGCCAAAACGTTTTTTAAGCAAAACTTTCTGAACAATTTAAACACAACTTTATACTTTTCCAAAGTTTCATTTAAATAATAATTTTAATGTTTTGTGCCTTTTCATCATTTCTAATTAACGTTTAATACAGTCAACTGGTCCAAACAGTCAAAAACATTGCCACCTACAGTGTACCATAACCTTTCTTGAAACAAAGCCTCCTGCTAAAACAAGGACTAACTTACCTTGTACGTTCCTCTCTTTCTCTTTCTAGCTCTCCTGTCAAGCGATTCTGTTCACTTTTTAGGTTTCTCACAGCTTGCCGAAGATGCTCAACCTTAAAAAATGGATCATAACAAAATTCAACCTCTAAACATCCTGAGAACAACCCTGGTCCTTAAGTGCTATTTTGTGTATTAATTTTATCTTTTTTGTACAGACAGGCTAAAGAACAGTTTATCCATTTTTACCAAAGTTGAATACTTTTTATCTTAAAACGCAAAAAATTTTAACATAAGTATTAAATAGAAAAACCAATTATTGGAAATATCCTCTTTGAAAACTACTCTGTAGGGTTGTTATAGATTTTTTTTAATTCATAGACTCTCTACCTTGCACATGTACATTGCTTGTAACTCATTAAACAAATTTAAAACAAAATATTTAAGTCACAAACTGATCAAACTTACATCAGATCGAACATCATCATCAAACCGAACAGCAGATCCCCTTTGACTTTTTCGCACAGGTCTTGCATGCTCATCTTCAGACACAGACTACCACAGTTTGCAATAATTAGAGCAACATAAACATTTCAGTTGACAAATTCCTTTCAAGCCATTTTTTTAGTTAGAACCAATGCCCTATTGTCAGGCAAATTACACCAGTCCTTTGGTCATAAAAAGATATTTCATTGGATGATTTCAGATCTCGTTACATGTGTTGGTGTTTCAGAAACTACACTGTACATTTATGTCTGCCTGTTGATTTTGATAAATGTGTTCTTGCGTGTTAAACACAAGGAAACTGCCAAATTGTGCCATCATGACACCATTTCCAGGTTCTATACTAAATAATAATAATAATAATGAGTCTTTATTTCACCAAAAGATAAAACTACATATCTTATGTTACAATAAGAGAAGATAAAAACTATGATAAATATCTACGTTATATGTATATATTAAAAAAGTGTATCATTACAATAAATGGAGCTTAAAAATCAACCTATTTACAAAGGTGTTCATAAAACGCTCTGTATTAATTTTTGGGCGTACGTAGCCTTTTTTTCTAAGATTATGTACATACGTCTTCTCGACAGGAATTATATCTTTTAGTGGGTGGCAATCCGTTGATATTAATTTCTTTAAACTCTCTTCCTATAGACCACATCCCAGGGCTAAAAAATGGGAATTCCCAGCTCTCACATTTTTCTAACCCAGGGCCACTTCTCACTTGTCTTAGTAATGATTTTGTTGAAGGATGACTTGGACTGGCAGCGTGCAAAGAAAGTCAGTTTTACAGCCTGCCATTCGGGCAAGCCGTAGCTAGCATGTGCTAGCCCACAAGTCATTTCAACTAGCCCCAAAACCCTTTTTGATTAGCAGGATTGATTACAATTATCCTTCTGTAATTTGAATTTCCCCCAAAAACAGCACTTGCCCGTCGGGCAAGTTAAGAACCAAAATCACTAGCCCTATAGCAAAGTCCACTAGCCCCGGGCTACGGGACATGACTTTTTTTGCACGCTGCCTGGACAACCGGATGGGGCTTTTTTTGGAGCCCTGTATTACATAGCTCTTGATTGATGAGTGTGAAAAAATCACTCAGCTAACACCCTTTCTTTCAATGTAGAAAGGAAAAGGTGCTAACTGTTTCTGTCTCACAGTGAAACTCTTTTAAAACAGTTTCAAACATCTGTTCTAAACATCTGATGGCAACTCATTGTCCCAAACATGACGGGAAACATTTATTTTATCAAAAACAGAAATGAGTTGTTCTCACCTGGGATGACGGAGGAGTGGTAGGAAGACGCCTTCTTCGTGAAATCCTTTCTCTTCTCAGAATGTTGGCAGATTTTTCAAGTTCAGCACGCAGCTTAGGATAAAAGAAAACATCAAAATTTCAGCGAAGAAAAAATTTTTAGTCTTTCTTCTTACAGATTGCAAACTAGAGATGTTGACTTTTGTTCTGACAAAGACAAAGAGCAGTCATTATTACACTGTATATACTCATTACTGGGTGCTCTTTTATTCTCAAGTTTGCCTGTCACCTGCCTGTCAAATAACTGTCGTACGTACCAACTTAAGATTGTGAGTATTTTTCACAGTACTTGTTGTTAAGTCAAATTGCTAAACACTATGCAATTCCAGAACAAAATAAAACTTTTAACAAACTTTTTGCAGGTTTCTGTGACAGCACTTTTTCAAGGTTAAAACCTCTGTACATTTCACTGGACACACCTTTGCAATTTCCTCATCCTGCTCCACATTTATGTCTCTGTAGTGCTCCAGCATGCGATCTGCTGTAGACAACACTTCTGTTGTAGCCTGCAAAGATGCAGCAAGATCCTCCACTTTGTCAACCACCATGCCACCCGTCCTTGGCCTCGAAGACACTGCACGGCTGGCATGTCGAGAGGGCGAGGGGGGCTGGGGGTAAGGCTGATGCAGATGACTCACTCTGAGTGTGCTTCTCCTTGGAGGACGGGTTGTTGCAGCAGGGGCATCATAGCTCGCACTGTCATCAGTTTCATCCCAAGGGCCAGTGCTTGATGCCATCCATGTAATGTTAATTGCATTTACTCTGGCACAGCATTAGCAATTAATTTCTTCTGACAGTCCTGAAAAAATTTAAAGGGGCTTTGTCATGGCTATTTAGTTCATTTTGTTTACATGTGCCAACTATGCTTCCTAAAGGCTGGTGGAGTTGGAGTCGTAATCAAAAGCGTAGATCTTTATGATCTAGTGAAAACAGCTTTCTGATTCTTCTGATTCCACTTACGACTCCTTCATTTACAATAAAGGGAAAACTGGGTCGTTGGAGTTGCAAGCAGAAGTGGAAGAATTAAACCAATCACAAAGCGTGGGAACGTGTTTTTATATTAGATTATCCTCCTGCTTCTGCTTCGGACTCCAACAATCTGGTTTTCACTAGAAAAGCGGAAGCGGAACTTGTAAATGACAAAGTCACAGTTCCTTGATCAACAAGATATGCCTCCTACGCGCATTACATCCATCATTCTAAACAGCAAAAATGAACTTAAGAAAATTATTAGGCCAACAAGGTTTCAAAACCGTCAAATGCAATCCGTTTCAATCTTCTTCAAGTTTGTCCATTTGCACCTTTCTTTTGTATTTGCCTTGTTATTTATACTTTCAGGGCTGTGCTCTACATTGTAGCGGAGCCTGGTGGCCCCTGGTAACTAACTTTTGCTCTTGGGCCTCTAGAAAATCATACAAATCATATGTTGGGGACCTGGGATTTTACAGGTTCAGAGCACTGGGCTCCCTTCAATTTTTTAGAACAGAGCCTTGACTTTCTTTTAATGTTTTGATCGTTTATTTTCATGTTTCACTCAAATGGGTGGCAGTTCCTATGTTTCACTATGTAGCAGTCAACCTCAGAAGGGGCAAATGGCTTTATAATATATAAGGATGGCCACTTAACTTAAATATGGCATCTCTTTTTGTTACTTACAGGGCTTCATTTGTATTTTTTAATTTTATCCTTGGCTGAAATTCTTATTCTCTTTATTTGTGTACATGAAGACAAAACAAAGGAAAACAAAAATTGAACCAGGATAAAATATATTATTGAACACACCTACAATAAATTCTGTACATCAACTGATAAAGTTTGCATGACAGCAACAGTTTCAAGACATTTGTAAAACCAAAGGAAAATAAGGCAGTTCAGCTCTTGATTGGTAAAATTTCTATTTTGAGAAATGGTCTAAACAGTCATAGACCTAAGATCATAGAACTAACAGAGTGGTTACCTTGAACATGTTTGTGTGACTTTGATTGCATACAGTGATCCCAACAAATTAAGAATAGTTCAGCCAGACTAGTGAATTATTGGACTGAGTAAATACTAATTATGTTAATTTATTCTAACTTGCACTCATTTGCTATTACAAACTTACCTCCCATGGGAATAGCTGTGTGCTTGAATATAAACAATAGAGTCTGATTGTTATGTTTACTCTAATAAAACAATGAAAGGATTAACTAAATATCCACAGGCGTCCACATTTCAAATCCATCTAATCTGCACCCTTTTTTAATCAATGCCAATATTCAAAAGTGAGCTTTGAAAAACAAACAAAATAATGAAATCAAGAATCCGGTACTCAAAGTACAGAAAAGCTTAACACAGAAATAAAAATTTAATTAGGTAAGGGAAAAAAGAGCACTGAAAGTTGAAAAATTTATTGCAACTTTAATTTTTTTTTAAGAGAGAGCAATTCACTTTTTAGCTTAACAATGATAAGTTTTCCAAGGTTACAATTCATTAACCATTTTGTTCTAAAACACAAAAGAGACATTATCAGTGACTAATGGAAGCATCCTAAAATAGCAGCATACAGTAACGGTCCTTGATAACTATTGGCAGCTATCTGGGCTAAACAGTTGAAAAATCACTGTGAACAAAAATAATAATGTTTCATTTGGATTCTAGGCCCAAGTCATCATTTCACATTCTAAGGTTTCATGCAAATATATAGTGGACTGGAACAAGGTCTTTATATCAAATATCAAATTGCATCTTTTAAATACCATAAAATGAGTCTTTCCTAATGGGAACTCATACATTTCATGCACACACAACTCAAGTCGCAGGCCTTTTTTTTTTACAAATAGTTTGATAATCCTTAAAATTATGGATCTCTTTATTTTAAAATGGTTAAGTATGGGATCAAGTTCCTCCAGCTGGGTTAAATTTGAGGTACAGGTGCAGATGTTTTTGAAGGTGTCATCTTAGGATCAGGGTTGGGTTTCAAGTTTTAAGAACCTTAGTTACCCGAAAATTAAACTCTCTGAGTTCCCCTGGAATCATAATTAGGTTTCTGTTTTTGAAGACTGTCCTTAATATTGCATATTTTGCATTATCAATTCATTATTCAGTGTACCAGCTCTTACAAACAGCTTGACCTGCTATAATTATATCATCAAAACTTTTACTATTCTATAGAAAGTTACCTTCTCCACTGTATCTCCAGAACAGGGGCACTTGTAAAGCTTTCACTTACTGTCCGAGTGAATGAAAATTAACTTTCCAAGAAATTGTGAACACATCTCAGAGTCAACTAGCGTTACTTTAGAACAATATCTGTTTATAACTGATTATTCTGGCACCAACCTTTTTTAAATAGTGAGTTGAAGGTTAAATTTACTTTTACTATACAGAAAAGGTTGTTCAATAAAAAATATTGTTATGATCAGTAATGACTTAAATAATGGTTGCTTAAAGACTGGTGGTCCTCTGAATGAGGTACTCCAAGACGAATATCTCACATCATACACATGTTTGACATTACTTTCGGTTTTCCATCAAAGAAGGTCCTTTTTTATCTCCTTCAGTTATGTTCAATAATTAATACAAATTTTACACACCAATAATTTCAATGAGCCTTCATGCTAACACAGTGTTGACGATGAGGTTAAAACATCTTCAGTACAACGCACTGTGTTATCCAGAAGACCCAAAGTTTTTTATCCTTGTCCGATTTTGAAAACTTTTCATGAGGTGGAAGGAAAGAAAAACTGAAACAGTACCATATGTAGTAGCTCGAATTAAAGTTGGATTGACTATTTAAAACGAACAGTGAAACTTATTCTCGAGATATCGACAGCATTAGCACCTCAGTAATTCATTGTTTCGTAGCTCTTGTTTTAAATGATATTGAAACAGACATGTGCATGTATGATGTAAGATAGCGTGAACGATCTTATGACAACCATATTCCATGAAAAAGTTTTGTGCGCGTCTAGCGTCTACAATGAATATCTCGTGTGCAGTTCATTTTTGCAAGCAAAATTGAAGGATGCCGAACAGCTAAACTGTCATCTTCATTATTCTAAATCTTAACCGATCGCTTGCTTTGTTTATTTTAGTTTGAAGTGATAAGCGACTAAAAACATTACAAGGAAGAAATTGCCTTACCTTGCAAACCGAGGTCCAATACCTAGACTTTATCTGTCAAAAACAAACCCACACGTTCGATTCAAAGGGCTGAGAATTCAATAATAACGCCATGAACTACGATAAGTCATGAATTCCACTGCAGTAATCAACTCGGCTTAGGTATTTACATATTTTGGGGGCTTTTTTTAGCCGTTACAAACAATTAACATCGAGTTGAATTGTACCGCGCAAAGTTATTTACATAACCAGGAGTGTGCTCTTATGCGGGTAGCCGCTGACCTTTAGCTCCGCTTACATCTCAAGAATAACAGACCTTTGTTACGCGGCGGCCATTTTATCTCAGGAGATTAAAAAAGCTTTGTTTATGCACGGATAGCCTCGTTCTTTAAAACTGTTTTAAGATACGAATTAATTTGCACATGGACGTCAGATCTTAGCAGCTTCTTTCCAGCGTCCATCTTCTCTTCCTGGATGCAGCTGGTCACATGACCATGTTCCTACCCTAGCTGATGTTTTGATTCCCACACGAATCCTCGATCAGACCACTGAAACTTCCTCGACAAGATATAATGAAATACTATCGACCTAGGATAAGGAGAAATTGAAGACTCGTTTCAAATGACGCTCGATTTTCTGAGTTACGATCAAATGGCAACGGCTTCGGTTGAAATCTTTCTATAAGTTAAGTGGTCGATCATCGCCCCAAAGGTTAGTGGTTAGGGGTCCGGGGCGCGGGGTGAAGGGGGGGGGGAGGATATTGGGGGAGATATGAAACAGGACGTGCAGGACGTCTCCAAAACAAATACCTTTAGAATTAAGTGACGCCATGACGCCATGACGTCGACGAAACACGACAAAAAGACGAGATTTTTCCCTTAAAAGAGGCCCTTTTGGAGGGGAGGGGTATTGTCATCCCTTATCCTGTAACTTTGGGTAGAACAGATATCCCTCATCCCTAAAACCCCGTACAGGGCCTCTTTAAACCCTATTATCAGCGTGCATATTCTCTACACTGTGGATACCGTCAATGAGCAAAATGTTCGAGCGCATTATATGCCAAACCATTGAATGAAAGAGTTAATTATTCTACTGCAAAAAAAAAAAAAAGTGATTTTGGCTTCTATTGTCTACTTTATTTTCGTTGTCCGGTTCGTCCAGTTCAGTCATAGTTGCTCCCTTTGCATCCGCCGGTATTCGCGCTGTTGTAAACCGGTTAAACCAGGACACTACAGTGTAGTACTTCCTCCTATTTTGCGCGTTCTCTTGACCTTATATGGCAAAATGACATAATAGTGGAATAACAAGGTGGTAAATTGTTTGACTCCAGCGCGAAGTGTCCGTAAAGAAATTAGCGGTCGAAATATAACGGCAGTGCCCGCCACGTTCGGACGAACTATAGCAACTTTTCTTCCTTTTTCAACGGGGGTGGGGGTGGTGGTAGTGGTGGGGGTGGGTACAATTTAAAATAGTTATTGCGGAACGGAGATATTCATCGCACACATCTCCGACATCTCTTTGTTTCTGGATTTGTGAAAAACACTCACTCACTACGATCATTAACATGATCAAGATAAATCCACAGTCCTCATATTCAGGGTTATTGTCAAAGAGGTGATCCTCAAGGTCTTGCCTCAAATTCAGAGGAGGAAATGATAACAGAAATTGAATTCATTTACCGCCTACGGAGGTAATTTCCAACGCCATTTTGTTCGCTTACCCTTTGTACGGAGCCCTCGCAAAAAAAGCGCGCGCATGTCACCCGAGATGGAACAATTTGCGCTAAAAATAGCACATTTGGCTATTTTGATGGACCCAAACCCATTACTGGAAAAGGTATGCACTTGCGGTCTCCTACCCCTGTTATGGCTTCTGTTGTCTAATTTTATTTCAGTTTTTTATTTTTTCTTCTTATTACGTGAATTTATAACAGCTGCTGACTGGGGAAATCTGGGCAGCACCCTTACAGAATGAACTTGCAGCAGCGGTAATCGAAGCGAACATTGGACTCCGTCTCCCCATTCTGCCTCACGAGATGAAATCTGGTCAAGGCTTTTCCTTCTGGGCACTTAACGTCGTGTCGGTCTAAATACACAATGGGCGCATGCGCATAGTCGTTCCAACCTGTGGCCAGGTCATCACACTGCAGGTGGGCGTGATTAAACCTGTTTTCGAGGTCCTGTATTTGTCAGAGTGAAAAGAAACGTTTTTATGAGCTTATACCATCCCATGCTCGCAGATCATGCATGGGGCACCCAGCCGGGACGAACAGTCGGTTTTTTCTCTCTCTCTCCGTCTTATTGTTTATGGAAGGAAAAAGACACAAGGAGCCAAGTTCTTTCCGAATAAACGTTCAGTTTTAGTTAAATTTTCATTTTTTAAATAAAATTTTCTTTTCTTTCCCAGATTGATATGTTTAGTCGCCTGTTCGACTCAAGACAGTTGTTAAGCCTGGGCTGACCAGGCTCCGTATTGAGAGAAAAAGAAGAAAAAAAATCGGCGGGCAAAGTAAAATCGTTTCGTGCAGCACGTTTTGTTATCACGGCCATACAGAAAACGTGGACATAAGTTTTTATTGGAGAATTAGGGGTTTTCACATGACGTCACCAAAATTGAAACTAAGAAACTATCGATTCTTTTGAGTTTCTACTCTTATGAGGTACAGCAACTAAAACTTTTATTTTCACAAAATTTCGACGCTTGAATTTCCAAGTTTTTACGTGACGCTGCATTTAGCTGGCGGCTGGGAAAGCTCTTATTTGGCCGAAAGGTAAAGATCATTTTTGAGATTTTGCTATTTAAACATTCCTTGTCTTAGAAAAAATATTACATTTATCTTTATGAGTTCCTCAAGCGAGGAATTCACTCATAAGTAGGAAAATTCGAAAACTGATGTTTTTGTTGGTTTCCGGCCGCCATATTTGTGCACCTCAAAGGGACACCAACATGGTGTCTCCATACAAAGCGCTCTAAATTTGGGTAAAACGTTTTTCCGAATATCTTGCATATGAATTATTGCACAGGGCTCATTCTTGGCGAGGCTTTTTGTATATTCATCTTCTTTCATTTCTCAGATTCTGGACTTTCTGTATTGACTCACTGGTTTACATTTTAATTTTTGATGGCGTGACAGTGAAATTTATGAAGATGAATGATGAAAACTGCGGAAATACAAATTTTAAATTCCATTCATGGGCTAAGATGAACTCAACAATTTGGCCTGCTCCCAATGTGTTGGTCTTCATAGGTCAACTGGTTAGAGCACTGCAGCGCTATAAACTGCAGAGGCCATGGGTTCGAATCCCTTGAAGTCCCGAAATCTTTTTTGGGCTAATTTACAATTACTTAAATTGCAATTACCATTGCGACGATCAAATCTTCATTTAAAATACGAAATTAATGTTAGTGCAAAAAGATATTGTCAAAAAGTACACTATAAAATGCATTATTTAAACCATTTTCTGAGGTTTTGGTGCTTTGCATAGATGATAGATCTCAAAGCGGCGATAAAAACACTACGTTTGATGCGAAAATTGCAAAATTACATAGCAACTGTTGATTAGCTGAAAATATATATCAGAAGACACGTGTTTTGATACGATGTTCTCGTACGACATTTGTCAGTGGCCAAAATCCCTATGATACAGTGTAAGTTTATATATTTTATAAAAGCATTTGCTGCGCGTTCCTTTTCACTAAAGTCCACTGAAATCCTGTTACAACACACAAAAATCATTTTTTTGCCGTTGTTGTTTTTTTTTCTAAGATTTCATTCAGCTCAGTTCATGTCATTTTTCAATTTCCAGCCCTTAGAGGACAATGAAGTTCTTTTAATTATGCTCTCATATGTTATTTCCAATCATTCGCGCACATGACTCTTAACAAACACAGTTGGTCTATCCGTTCATTCTAATTATTTTATTGTAAACACTTTGGGTGAACTTTCCATTTTAATTACTCATCAAAGGTCTTCAAGGTTAATATGTTATTTTCAAACACATAAAAACAAGACAACGGACATTTTCAGAATTTTTATGTCAGCAAATAACCAGCTGTCCCTGAATAACTGCTTAAAGGTTTATAAATCTCTCATGTCTACATTCTCGATTCAATTTTCCTGTATGAATGTGGGACGGTTTAGATAAGTATTCCATCCCTGAGCTGAAGAATTGCAGTTTAATTTATTTCCTTGTCAATGGTTTGGCGGTCATCACGCGGTGCACTACCGCTGTCCACATCTGTCTCTCTTGGGGGTGTAAATTGCAGATTTTGGTCTCAGTTGGGACGGAAAGTCACCATATTTGCTTATTCAGGCATCGCTTAGGGCTGTGCATAAAGAAATTAACAAAAAAATGCATTGATCTTCCCATCCTGACAGACCATGCATGGGGCAGCAGTCGGGACGACGGTCTGCAAAACAGTCGGTTTTGAGCCACACCCACTTTTGTCTCCCTAAGGGGTTTAATTTCAATCTTCCGACGAGCATCCTCGTCACGTTTAAGTTAGCCTGCGTAGCAAGTGTTTAGGTTTAGTGTCGGAGCAAAGTAAAGCCTAAGAACGAGATGTTCGGTTTTGGCCGCCAGAAAAATGGAACGAGAGCCAAAAAATGAAAGAGGGAGTAGGGGTAGGGAAGGATATGGGGGATCTTGGGAGTGTTGTTTTCGTCGGCCACTTGCAGTGCCCGCCACGTTTGGACGAAGTATAGCAACTCTTCTTACTTTTCAACGGGGGTGGTGGTTGGAGAGGGGCGCGGAGAATTTAAAATAATTATTGCGGAACGGTGGGCAATTTTATTTTCGCGGGCTACAGTTTCGTTTTTCGTTTTGAATTCAAAGATGCATTTGAGAAAAGTTAGACCTAATCAGGAGCCCGTCATAGGCTCGAATGTAATGTAAATATCTTATTATCCACTCCCCACAGGGCTTTTCAGGGATAATTTACAACACTGGTTGGGGGACTTTGCCAGACTGCTTAAGGTGCAGTTTACAAGTACTGAAGGAATGAGTGATGATGCCCCCATAAATGAGTGTGAAAGTGAGATAGACCACTACACCGGGCACAACGTGCCCTACTCTTTACGAAGAGTGTGTGGGCTCTTTAACGTCCCACAGATTTATTACATGTGCAAGGGCTTGTGAAACGGGGCCTACGGTTTATCGTCCTTATCCGAGAAGACTAGAAAGTCTAACCATTTGCAGATGTTATTACAAAGGCAGCACTTTCTCCTCAGTTATTTAAAGACCCTGAGTGTTGGTCCGGCCGGGGTTTGAACCTACGGCCTCCCGCTCAGCAGACCGGCGCTCTCCTGACATAATTATTTGCAGTTGTCAGGTTAACCGTTTCCATCCTCCTCTTTCGGCAGGTTTTTTTTTGTTTCGTCCGCTCGGTATATTCGTCGCACGACATTTCCGATATCTCTTGCATCTGGATTTGTCAAAAACACTCTCACTACGGTGATTAACATTCACAGTCCTCATATTCAGAGTTATTGTCAAAGAGGTGATCCCCAAGGTCTTGCCTCAAATTCAGACGAGGGAATGATAACAGAAATTGAATTTATTCATCTCCTATGGAAGTAATTTCTTGTTCGTTTACCCTTTACGCAGTGCCCTCGCAAAAAAAGCGCACGCGTGTCACACGAGATGGAACAATTTGTGCTAAAAATAGCACATTTGGCTATTTCGATGGAGTCAAACCCATTACTGGATAAATTATAAAGTGCCGGTACCCTACACTGATTATGGCTCCTGTTGATAACCATCAAATAACCAAATAGTTAATTGAGCTGTCTAATTTTATTTCAGTATTATATTTTTGCTTATTCGTACGTGAATTCAGATAACAACTGCTGACTGGACAAATCTAGGCCGTACCCTTACAGAATGAGCTTGCAGCAACGGTAATCGAAGCGAACAGGGGAATTTGGATCCCCACGCTGCCTCACGAGATGAAATCTAGCCAAGAACTTTCCCTCTGGGCACTTTACGTCTTGTCGGTCCAAAAACACGATTGGCGCATGGGCATATTGGTCCCAACCTGTAGCCACGTCGTCACACTGCAAGTGGGCGCCATTCAACCTGTTTTCGAGGGCCTGCATTTGTCAGAGTAAAAAGAAAAGTTTTAATGGGCTTTGATCATCCCATCCTGGCAGAGCATGCATGGGGCAGCCAGTCGGGACGACAGCAGACTGTAAAACAGTCTGTTTTTTTCTCAATTTTGGTTTCAAGCGTAGCTCAAGAGCCTCAAACGCTCTTCCCAGTCTCGCTCTCCGTTTTATTGTTTAGGGAGGGAAAAAGACCTAAGGAGCCAATTTGTTTGCGGATAAATGTTTAGTTTTACTTAAGTTTTCATTTTTGCGAAAAATTTTCTTTTCTTTTCTACTGGACTAATTTTTTTAGTCGCCCGTTCGACTCAAGACAGTTGTTAATTGCTCCCACTCTAGCCAGGGACCAGCTTCCGCATTGACGGAAAATGAAGAAAAAAAATCGGCAAGCGAAGCGAGGCGACCGGTAGTCTAGGGAAGCGAAAGGGTGACGCTGCCCTTTCCTTCTCCCCAGTCCACCGCTTTGCAGGCCGAATTTTTTTTGCTCCTGTATTTCAGCCCGTTTTTTGCGTTTTTCCCCCACCCCAGAGCCTGGTCCGAGGCTACTCTTCCTCGTGATCACAGGTCTATCGTCTGGACTCTGTGCAATTTAAAATGCATGACTGACTCGGTTCTGTAAAATTTCGCTGCTTCTCTAATTTTCCTCTCACCGTGAGTTTTCGGTCCATGTCCATTATTTTGGTCTCAATGTCAGCCTGAAAAACATCAAGAATATACATACCAGTTTAGTAATTCAGTAGATTACTTTCAACAGGCATCGTAGGTCTCGTAGTGTTGCCTGAAACCCCAAAGAACAAGTGCCTAATCTCATCTTCTAAGACGAAAACATAAATTGAAAAACAGATTATCATAACACTATGCCAAAGTACTTTTGAAAGCGTTTTTTTTTCTTTTGAATGATTACAGGAAAGGATTCCGTCCTGACTAACCTAATTTGCGTGCTTTTTTCTTAATAGCTAGTTACGCGTGTACTTAATTTCAAGTGAAATTCGAAAGTTGAGGATATAAAATGCTAAAGCGAATAACATTTCGGCAAAGGTGGAGAACTACGGATATCAGCAAGTGACGGGGATGATCGAATAGGGGCAAAAATCAAAACCCAAAAAACCCCTGGTCCAAAAACTTAGCCACCACAAATCTTGAGATTGTTTTGAATACCCCAAAAAATGCCAACTTAAATCAAGCCACCCAATACAATACTTTCCAAATTTCCCCACCCAAAAAATCCTAGAATTGCAGATACTCCGAGGGTACTGTACACTTTACATGAGCGAGCGAAATCTTAATGACAGCTCCTTTTCAATAGCAGTAACTCTAACCGCGTTACCAACCTGTGATGGCCCGAAAGTACTGGCCAAGAAAACCAACAAGGCTATCGCAGACAAGCGAAACATCATTACCATCCAGGTTACGTTCCTTCGAAGGTTGAAAATACACTGCAAAAATGAAAATAATTTAAAAGCAGTTTAGTCAAAAGTAGATGTAAAATTGTCAGACATAATAAAGAAATTTTACTTCTTTTGATGGGTCCAAACAAGCGAAGATCAGGAGTTAAATAAGTTGACTGCTTGCGACATCTATTTCAATCTCAGCTTGAAATGCGTTTTCATCCTTTGTGTTTTATGTACACTATAATTTTCTCAAGTTTTAATTTGTTTGGTGAAAACAAGAACTGGAGAATAGTAACTGAAGATAGGCAAATTGTGTATCGCTTTTATACTGAAAACTTTATAGTCAAATCACACGCAGTTTTTATCCAAGTATGAAAGTTAAAAGCGAGAACAAACTGGAATACCTTACCTCAAAGAGAGGTACTCGACGCCAAGTCTTCTGCTGTCGTGTTGCTGTATAGCACTGATACAGTGTGCGATATCTCCACTTATGAATGTGTTTTATTCAGTATGATGGACGCGGCTAAAAGTTCTGATCGTTGATTGGCTGGTTGGAAACTACGGCACGCGATTGGTTTCCCGATCAACTGTAGGACTGTATTTTCCCCAACGAGAGGCAGGAAAACACTGTTACAAATTCAAATCGTCTCTAAATTTCAAATCTTTTGTCAGATTATTTAAGTATCCTGCCGTCTTTACCGATAAAGAGACGAAAGCTTACGTGCTGACAAAATATTCTGTGTAAACAATAATAGTTAAAGGAGGAGTCGCAATGTCTGGTGCACGAAATAAAACGTTCCCTACAGCACGTTTTGTTATCACGGCGATGCAGAATAACAGAGAGCACGAAAGATTTGGCCATTGCCTTATTGCCTACTGAGTACTAAAAATCAGCATGATCGTCCGAGATGTATTTAATAAACCTATAATAGCTAATTTTTATTACAAAGCACATAAGTTGTAATTATAATACATAATACATGGGCATGAGGAGATATGAAATTTACTATCTTCAAAAAAAGTTAATATCAAAAAAGCAAACTATAAAATGAATTATTTAAACTATTTTCTGAGATGTTTTGTAGCTTTGGATGATAGATGTCAAAGGGGCGATGAAAAAACTACGTTTGGCGCGAAAAGTGCAAATGACATAGCAACGGTTGATTGGCTGAATGTAGATATCAGAACACATGT